GTAGCTGTACTTGAATAGTCCCTGTCAGAGGAAGGAGAAAGCAAATGTATTGATAAAAAGAAATCAATCTTATCTTTGGATAACCAGTCCATTGGCTTTACTCCTAAAGATAATTACATAACTATATGATGCCGGCGCCAGCACACTTGTCAAGGTGCCCCTTGGACCCCAATCTTTGCCCTATTCAGCCTCACCCTGATCACAAGTGTTTTACTCATCTGTTCTCCAAGGTTACTTTAGAGAGAGAAATCAGCAACTGCTTGACTTCACTTTGATGTGAGAAGCAGCAGCTAGGGAAAACGCTCCTTGCTTTTGTGTCTTTGGCTACACAACTCCAAACTTCCTGCTTTTCAGAAAAAGCAGCTCAAGACAGATTTTTAAAATGCAAAAAAGCAACCAACATTGCTTATTTCTAAAGCACCAAAATAACACCTAAAACAATCATTACTTTATACAATTACTTTTTGCTCATCTGGTTTTCTTCAGGATTTATCATCTGAACCATTGCAGTTGCCGCCGTTAGTAGTCCTAATATTTCTAAAGCAATGATCAAAAAGTGTTTTTTCTTTCAGGACCTCCTCCTATTTTTAAAAATTATAGAGGACTCCAAATTAACTTTTCTTTATATGGATTATATTTATCAATTTACCATATCAAAAATTAAGATTGACACATTTACTGCTGCTACTGCTTCTCATGATTATTTGATGAAATATTAATATTGTATTATTTTTCAACATAGGTTACTAAACAATTTTGATTTTAAGGAGCCCTGAGATGGTCCTGGGGATACCCCTCCCCCCCAGATCTTAGGAGCACATCTTAAGAAGCACTGCTCTAAAGCACCATAAAGCAGATTACTTTGTTTATATATTCATTTAGAGGGATGTTTGCAGTGTAAAGATGTACAATAACAAACCTTTAACCTACATATCTATTTTGGTAGGGTAGCAAAAAGAGCAAAGCCAAGGCTCTTGTTAGATTGCTCCTGGATTTGAACCATCAGCGGGTCATGTGCAACCTTTTTGACCATTGAAAGTGTTCAAGTTCTGGTCACGTGGCAAAACATAACTATAGTCCTTTTGAATGTGTGTTTCAAAACATGCATTAAGAAATTGTGAGAAAAGGTACTGGGTTACCCCTTTGGTTTATATCGCAAATTGGCTTAATAAAATAACTCATAAGTAATTTCTTGCTATTTAAATATAGGTAATCCTTGACTTATAACAGTTCCTGTATTGACTGTTCAAAGTTACCACAGCCCTGAAAAAAGTGATGTATTACGGTTTTTCACACTTATGACCATTCCCTATGGTCAGCTAATCAAAATTCAGATGCTTGGCAACTGACTCATATTTATGATGGTTGCAGTGACCCAGGGTCACACGATCTCCTTTGACGTTCTTCTAACAAGCAAAGTAAATGGGGAAACAAGATTCACTTAACAATCGTGTTACTAACTTAACCATTGCAGCGATTCACTTAATAACTGAGGAAAGAAAGGTAGTAAAATGGGGCAAAGCTCACTTAACAAATTGTCTTAGCAACAAAAAGTTTGGGCTCAACTGTGGTCATAATCTGTCTTTCATTCTATGATACCAGGAAAACAAAACAGAAACATAAAGAAATGCATCACAGCATAAAAATGTAAAGCATTGTCCAGTTTTTTGTTCTTCACTGCTCCATGCTAGTCATGCTTAGTTAACTCCAAAACAAATATAGTATGTCTGCTTTTGTATAAAAAGTACATAAACAAATAGCAGTTGGATGAATAAAAGCAAGAATTTGTTCTATTGAGAATAGGCATTCACATGCTGTTTAGATTTCAAGATACCAGTTGCAACGTATAGTTTGCACAATAGACAATTTGTAGCTGAATGTTAATATTCATGCATATATCCTAAGTGCATAAATCTCAGATATTGCTTCTCAAATGTGAATATAACTTTAAACTAAGGTGTACTTGTGCACATCCTCACTTTTGTTTATAGAGAACTATAAACATTATATGAATAGATCCATTTATATGGATGTACAATAAGTAAGAAATAGAAAATCAGGGTGAGTTCATATGCACCAGAATCTAGATAGTTATGTAATGTGTTTCTTTCTCAGCCAGGCACGTGTAATGCAACGCTTCTGTATGTGTGTGTGTCACATCAACGCCTCAACCTGTTGCCAAACCCTGATTTGTCTTTTATTGGAAGAGATCTGTTCTTTCTATTTTTAAGTGACTAAGAGGTGTTTGGCTGCCATGGGAATGTGGGGAGAACAATGTGAGCGGCTCAGCAGATGGATAGGGTAATAGTGGGTGAGAATGAAAGGAACAGAACAATACTGCGGGTGTGAATCTTCTTCTAGCACATGTACACAGCCATTTTCCTCAGCGTGCCTGGCTGTGTTTCAGGATGATTAGATGGACATGTGGCTATTCTGTTAGTGCTGAGAAAACTTAATGACAAATATAAGGGAGAGGTGAGACAAAAATGGGATCCCTTGTTGTCTTGGTTTGGAAGATGATATTTCATACTCTAGTTCTAAGACACAGTAGAAGCCTGAGGGGCCATTTCCAGCTGTTTTAATTTCAGCATTCAACAAACATGATTTCTGCTTCCCCCAGTTTTTAACAGAAAGACTTTTATTGAAGATGCTGCCAATTTCCTGCTATTGTTGTTTAGAAGGTCTTGTATTGACTGATCAATTTGTGGTTGGTCTACTTTCTGCCTCTTGTGGCAGACTGCTCAGGGATGCTTCAGCCTGGGTGACAAAGAAGCAGCACAGCATTTACAAATATTTAATTTTGTTGTACTGATTATGTGCCATCAAGTTGATGCCAATTTTTAATGACCACGGGTGTCAAACTCGCTGCATCACGTTGATATCATGTGACATATCATGACATTTTTTGCCTTTGTGGAGCTGGGGTGGGCATGGACTGTGTGTGATGAATATGGCCGGCGGGCCACCAGTTTGACACCCGACCTAGACAAACCTTTTCCATGAACTGTCCCCAAGTGGGCCTTCAGATCTTCTCCAATGGTGCACTCATTACTGCTATAATCAAGTCCATCAACCTTCTGGCTGGTTTCCTCCTTTGTTTTCCTTTTCATCTTTCCTGCTATTATTGACTTTCAAGAGAGCTAGGTTTCAATAATTTGAGCCTGAGCATCTGAGAACTCGATTGATTTGTTCCCGGTGTTTGTTTCCCTGGATAACTGTATTATTCTATGGTCTTTTCTAAAGTCTGCTTGGCTTTAGGCATATAGCATCTCCTTTCTCCTTTCCCTTCCAAGACCCAGGGAGGATTAAAGATGACACATCACTATACCCAGAAAAAGGGGGGGGGGGCAAGAACCCAAAGCCATTCTGTCTTGCAACAGTTGAGTTGGAGCCAATTCCTCCTCCTCTAGAGCTGCACCATTTCTAGACACCTGGTCAGTTCCTCAACAGCATCATCTGACTGGATAGAACTGGAGGTTTACATCAATCATCAGCATACTCTTCGAGTTAATCACAATTGGGACCAGAATTTGTTTCTAAGCAAGATAGTTGTTAAATAAGTCATGCCAGATTTTATGACCTTTTTTGCCATGATTGTTAAACGAGTCGCTGCAATTATTAAGTGAATTGGGTTAACCCCGACTAAGCTTTTTGGACGCCACTTGAGATCCCAAAATGGCAATCACATGACCCTGCATTCACCATTTTGAGCTTATATTGATGCTAAGAAAGTACATTTTTCCACACATTCTCTCTTCACCATCAATTTCTATTTTGATGTTCCCCTTCCTTGCAATGGCCATGACCACGGTCTTTTTGATGTTCAGATAGAAACCAAAATTCTCACTTTCTTCTTTGATTTTCTTGAGCAGATATTCCAGGCTGCCTTTGATTTCTGAGAGGCGAGTTAAATCATCAGCACATCGAAGATTGTTGACGTTTCTTCCACCCACCTTTCCGTCCATTTTTGATTCTTCAAGATCTAGCTTCCTCATGACCATTTCAGCATACAGGTTGAGTAAGAAAGGGGAGAGAGTATGCAACCTCGGCGCACTTCTTTTTCTATAGGAAACCCAACCAGGAGCATCTTCCCTGGGAACATTTCCTCATGATTAAGAAGCTACTTTTGGGTAAGCAGCCAAACGTCTCGAACCGAAAAAGAAAACCAGTTGCCATGACTCAACTTCTAGATTTCTTCATGAAGCATTTCTCTGAAAGCCAAGACCAAGAGCGGGTTTAATGTTAACCCCTGGTTTTGAGGACTCAAGAGGGAAAAGAGTTTTTAAAAAATAAAAAAGCTCTCAGGGAGTCTCTTGTTTGACATTTGTCCACAGCACGGGAGGCCAGCAACCGAAGCCGTTACCTCACCTCAAGTTCGCCTTCAACTGACGAGCTTCTGCCCCCGCGCCAAAAAAGAAAAAAAGTTTTCCCGCTTCTTTCCCCCCAGCTCGAGCCCCCGTTCGCCGTGCGCATGCGCCAACCTTTGCTGCGGCGGTTTGGGGGGGTCAAGCTTTGCTGTCAGGTGGAGGGGAGGGGTGAGGTGAAGGGGGGGAAAAAAAACACCGCCAGATTTATTCTCGCGAGACTTGCCTCTTTTCTCCTCCACCCCTCCCAACTCTTTCTCCGCATGCGTCTCTCAACTTGACGTCGATCTCTCTCACTTATTTTAATACAGCCATTTCGACCAATCGCGAGGTGAAGCTTTCCTCAGCTGGGCGGGCGGGGTGGCGCGCGCTCTCGCTTCCTCTGGCCAGGCTCGCGCAATCCCCTTTTCCAGCGGTCGGCCAATCGGGAGAAGGGGTGGCTGGCGCGCGCGAGCGAACGCGCCTGCCTCACCCCCCCACCACTCCATCCTCCCGGGCGAGCCGACCAATCGCGAGGCGGCGGCGAGAGCCTCAGCCAATCGCGGGGGCGGCAAGTTGGTTGGGAGGAGACTTTTTTTTTCCTCCTCCCCTTCTCCCTCGCGCGCCTCAGCGCTCGCTCGCGCTTCGGCCACGCCCCCCTCCTTCCTCTCGCCTTCTTCGCGTTCCCCTCAGGGTTTTGGGTTTGTTTTTTTTTTTTTTTTTTAGGCCTCGCGCGCAGCCTCGGCCTCGCTTAGGGCAGCCAAGCCGGGCGATGACGACGACGCCGTCGCCGCTGCTGCTGCTGCTTCTGCTGGTAGTGGTGCTGCTTCTGAGGCGGGTCCCTCGCTAAAGGCGCAACGGAACGCCGGCCTCCGCCGCTGCCATGCCGGCTAAAAGGAAACTGGTGCCGCCGGCCCTCAACATCACCCCGACCATCGCTGAGGGACCCAGCCCCACCGGCTGCGAGGGCGACGGCTCCGAGTGAGTGGGGCTGAACGAGGGGTCGGCGGGGATGGGTCTGAGGGGAAGCCGGGGGGGGGGAGGGCGAGGTATTTCTGAGGGGGGGGGAGGAAAAAAAGAGAAAGATTTTCCTCACGGAAAGGTGATTTCGGGGCTGAGGTAAAGTGTGTGAGGGGATGGTGGCTGCCCGTCGGTCCTTGGAGAAGCATCCCGAGCCACGAACCACGGGGAGCTTTTGTTTGGCTGGATTTGGGGGGTGGGTGGGTGTTTGTCTTCCTTCAAAGTGAAGCCCCAAAGGCAGAACCCGAGGCCGGGGGTGGATGGGAAAGCAGCTGGGAGGAACCGGGCTGTTGGTGGTGATGGTGGGAGGAAAGAAACTTCATTCGGTCCAGGAAAAGGTGGAGGAAGGATTGGGGGGGGGGGGCGTTAGGATGCAGGCCAGGCAGGTTCTTCTGTCCTGAGGTGGGAAAATGCCAATAAAGGAGAAGATTTGTAGCTCGGGGTGGAAATGAGGGGTCCTGGGGTGGGGGTGGGAGTCTCTGAGGATGGTGGTTTGCTTGCAGACGTTTCAGGAGCCGAAGTGGGATAAATAAATGGACTGGCACTGATGATGTTACCTAGTCTGGGTCATGAGACGTCTGCAAGAAAGCCAACCGGGGCTCAGAGAGCCCCCAGGGACCTCACAGCCGTCTTGCTCCACAAACCCCACTCCATTCTAGCACTAATTGTGTTACCTAGTTTGGGTCATGAAACGCTTGCAAGAAAACCACCAGAGAGTTCCAAAGACCCCCACGGTCGCCCTCCTCTCCTCCTCCAAAATCCCCACTATCTTCTGGCACTGCTGATATTATATAGTTTGGGTCGTGAGACGTCTGCAAGAAAGCCACCAAGCTCAGAGAATACCAAGGACCTTGCCGCCGCCGCCCTCCTCCTTTCCCTTCTCCTTTTCCACTCCCCAATCCCCTCTCTCTTCTGGCACTACAGGACCGCATTCTGCCACCGATTGCCTCCCACCGACCAATACGCTCCCACAGAGAGGGCCTCCTCAGGGTGCCGTCAGCCAAACAGTGTAGGCTGGCGACCCCCAGGGGGAGAGCCTTCTCTGTGGGGGCCCCGGCCCTATGGAATGAACTGCCCCCGGACATATGAAGGATCCCCGACCTCTGTGCCTTCTGTCGCGCTCTGAAGACCCTATTATTCCAGCAAACTGGACTGACAGAATAAAGGTTTTTTAAATTGGGTTTTGATGGGGGTTTTAAAATGATCTTAGTTGGATGTTTTAAATTTGGCCGAATGATTGAATTATTTTAATAAGCTTTTAATTTTTGTTGTACATTGTTTTTACCATGGCTGTTCACCGCCCTGAGTCCCTCAGGAGAAGGGCGGTATACAAATATAATAAACTAAACTAACTAAACTAAGCTAAACTGATAGTGTTACTTAGTTCAGTCATGAAACACTTGCAAGAAAGCCACCAAGCTTAGAAAGTACCAAGGACCCTGCAGTCCTCCTCCTTCTCCTCCTCCACTCCACAAACTCCACTCCCTTCTAGCATTGATGATGTTATCCAGTTTGGATCATAAAACGTCTGCTAGAAAACCACCAAGCTTAGAGAGCACCAAGGACTCCAGAGTCCCCTTCCTTCTCTTTCATTTCACCAACCCCACTCCCTTCTAGCACTGATGATATTACCTAGTTTGGGTCATGAAGCATCTGCAAGGAAACAACCAAGGACCCCTCTGGGTCTAGAATGGTATAGGATCGCCTATAGGCATGGGATCTCTTGCCATAGGCAAGAGGTTGGACTAGAAGACCTCCAAGGTCCCTTCCAGTCCTATTATTCTATATTCTGTGAAGAACCTGGACAGAGAGAAGAGATGCAATATCCTCCTAGACCTGGTGAAAAGATAAAAAAAAATCAAATAACAGTTCATTTAAAAACCAATGAAAACAGGTCATTTTATCACCTCATACTGGCGGGCTGAATATTCGGTAATTAAGGGAGGAGAAAGATTGTGCTCGATACATCTCTTGAAAGAACACAGCATCTCCACCTTCCCTTTCTCGGTCGACAGTGTGATCAACCAAAGTTGTGGGTGAAGTTGTAATTCCTGATGAACAAATTTTGGAGAATGGAATGCTTCCTATCATGTTTGACAGATAATAGAGATGTTAACGTAAGATAGAACCAGACTGTAGGACCTCATTCGGTTGATCAAGTTGGAGCACTGGTAGGAAGAATTTAAAGGCTGCCCTTAAAATAATCTTGGGAAAATTCTGTCCAAATGAATCCTGGTTTCACTATTCCAATTGAATGTTATGCCTGAGAAGCAATAGTTCATTCTTTTATGGCCGAAAGGCTGTTTGGAACAACTTACATAGTTTTAAAAGATGTTTTCATTTTTTCCAGCATATTTTATATGGCATGCTATTCTTCAAGCTCCTTAATAAATGAAATGTTCTTCCAGACTATTCTTGCTAAGATAAAATGAGGCATTCAAGCAATATTTAAAATGCATTTTATAATATTACAAAACAAGAACTGAGGAAATGATTTATTATAATTGAAGTACTGATACAGTAAAAGAGGAAGAATGAACTGGCAAAGTAATGACTGGGGAGACGGAAGAAAGCGAATGTTGGGTGTTTAAAGCATAATACTTTGCAAATTTTCTTAGAAGCTGACTTTCTAATCCAATGGACCACACTCCCAAGAAAGTGAACTTAAGGTTTTAGCCTTGAAAAGGTCCATGATGAGGGGGGCCGAAGAGGTCTGTAAGAATAGAAGTGAAGGTTGGGCTGACCGCAATGACATTCAAGACTTCACTTGTAGAATGATTTGTGTTGAAATGTTGTATTTTCATAAATTTTGAAGTGTTGTTAGTTATTGTGGTGAGGAACAACTGTCAATGACCTGGAAAGGAATAATTGTAATGAGAGATGTTAGCCATGTAAAGGATGAAGCCTATATAGAAATGTGGGCAATTAGCAAAAGGAATGGATGAATACACAATACAATACAGAATAACAGTGTTGGAAGGGACCTTGGAGGTCTTCTAGTCCAACCCCTTGCTCAGGAAGGAAGCCCTATTCCATTTCAAAAAAGTGGTTGTCCAAACTCTTCTTAAAACTTGAGTGTTGGAGCATTCACAACTTCTGGAGGCAAGTTGTTCCACTGATTAATTTTTCTAAGTGTTGCTATTAAAATTACAGCGTTTAAAGGTTATAGCATTTCATATTTACATTAATAGATGTAGATTTCTACATTTCTACAAAGTGTTGACAAAAGTAAGCATTTTGCCCTCTTACTGATGGAAGGAGAGGGTGGTCATTGAAACTACATGAAATTTTATGTAGAATGTTATTTAAAATAAAAAAATAGAAAAGGTGTGTATGTATATGTATGCACACACATATATGTATATATGTAGTTAAATTATGCTTTAATCACATTTATAATGATAATCACCAATTTTGATTATTTTTAAAAATGATTAGATCAGGGACATCCAACTTTGATAATTTTAAGACCTGTGGGCTTTAATTCCCAGAATTCCCTATGCTGGCTGAGGAGTCCATAAATTTTAAACTTGCCGAAGTTGGACACCCATGGACTACATGAAACTGGAAATCCAAATTATTGGTAGGATCTGTTGATTTTGTAGTGGAATAATATCAAGATTCACGGGCTTGAATAATTACCATCTGCTGACGAGTGACAATGGAAGAGAACTGTCTCCTCCCTGTATTTTTAGCTTCCAGACTTGAACCACATAGGATACGGCACTGAGAGGGTCTCTTCACCGATACAGCAAAAGTTTTTCTTACGATCTATATTAGTATGGTAGTGGCTCACATAGTTAAAATAATTCATTAATCTGCTTCTGTACTATTGATAATTTAGAAATGAATGTTGGAGAGAGAGAATCAGTATTAGTCTGGAAAATGAGTGTGCCATAAAATGTCTAAAAAATGAAATACACATAATGTAGCAGGGAGAGGAAATTAGGAAGCATTGGGGGTATAGAGTAGAGAAGTTGTGTGGAAAGATGAGCAGTAGTTTATAGCCTATAATAAAAGAACTGAATAGCAATTATTTTTATTACATAGTTTTATCCTGTCTTTTCCAAGGAGTTCAGGGTACTATTTCTGTAATGGCATTCTCTTTCTCCCCTCCTCCCCCCCCCCCCCCGGGTTTTCACTCTAATGCTATTCCTGTAACAACTTTGAACAGTTGGGAATATGGAAATGTGTAACTAGGACCATCATCTATTCAGATTCTTGTACTGTTTTTAACCACAGTCTAACTAGCTGCAGCCATTTTGGGAATTGGTTATCCCTCATGACAGTTAGTTTGTGAGGGTACACAAGACACTTTCACAAAAATCTTATGCCATCTAAGCTAAAAATTTGGAATATGTATGTCTGTGTATACATTAATTTTAGTATTTTACTATTTATAGAAATCCCTGTTCAGAGAGCTTAAAACCTAATGTATGTGTATTTGTATGTCTCTCACATAACTCACCCTTACACTCAAGTATAATTATGGTGTATTTGCATAACCTGCTTATCCCTCATTAATTTAGCCATGAGTTACTCACTGACACACTGAAGCATAGAAAGACATCCTCACTGGATTTGCATAGCATACTATTAAAATGTTCTTTGTTGTTCATAGTGTTGTCCAAATTCAGTGTCACATCTCAACAACCTAAGAAACATGTAACATACAGATAGTCCTCGACTTAGGACCACAACTGAGCCCAAAATTTCTATTGTTAAACAAGATGTTTGTGAAGTGAGTTTTGCCCCATTTTACGACCATTCTTGCCACAGTTGTTAAGTGAATCACTGCAGTTGTTAGTAACACAGTTGTTAAATGAATCTGGCTTCCCCATTGATTTTGCTTATCAGAGAGTTGCAAAATCAAATGACACAGGACACTGCAACTATCATAAATATGATCGGCTGGATTTTGATCACATGACTGTGGCAATGCTGCAGCAGTCATAAGTGTAAAAAACTATCAGTCACCTTTTTCAGTTCTGCTGTAACTTCAAATGGTCACTAAACGAACTGTTGTAAGTCGAGGACTACCTGTAATAAGGTGTGAGACTTATGATCTGTGACCTTTTTGAGTGGTAAGATACATTCCTGAATAGAGATTTGAACTTGGGACTTCAGTCCCACACACTTACAATATATGCCAGAGGTCCATCACCTGCAAATGGGATGGAAATTTAATAGATTGGGGATTGTTTAAAAAAATGAGCTGATTGATTTTCACGGGAAACCAGTGCTCTGATTTGGCTATAGCAGTGATGGCTAACCTTTTGGCCATCACGTGCCAGGAGGGGGAGCGGGGGCAGTTCGCGCGCGTGCATGCCCACACCCATAATTCTATATGTGTGACCCCCCTCCCCCCCCGCTCCTGGCACATGATGGCCTGGTAGGCCCGTTTTTCTTTCTCACCTGGCTCCAAATCCTCTCTATGCATCTGGGGAGGGCAAAAACAGCTTTCCCCAACCCCTCGGAGACCCTCCGGAGGTCTGAAACAGCCCATTTCTCAACTTTCGGTTGGACAGGAAGTGATGCTTTTTGCTGTCACCAGCCTCCAAAGCCTCTCTAGGAGTCTCTTTTCGCCCTCCCCAGATGCATAGAGAGGATCTGGAGCCAGGTGAGAAAAACTCCCCCCCCCTCCCCCGGGCCTCCGGAAGCAGGAAACAGCCAGTTTCCCTACTTCTGGTGGGCCCAGAAGGCCCAAAAATCAGCTGGCCAGTGCGGTTCGCTATAGGAAGGTATTTAATTTAAAGAGGGCTGGAAAAGTATAAACAAAAAGGTAAAGTTTCCCAGTGCAGCTGTGTTCCGACTCTTAAGTCATGGTGCTCATCTCTGTTTCTTGACTGAGGGAACCAATGTTGGCTGAACACATTTTCTGTGGTCATGTGGCCAGCATGGCTATACGCTGAGATGCACTGAATGCTGTTATCTTCCCACCAAAGTGGTACCTATTGTTCTACTTGCATTTGCATGCTTTCAAACTGCTAGGTGGGCAGAAGATGAGGCAAGGAATGGGAGCTCACCCCGTCACGTGGTACTTGGGTCTCGAACCCAGCCTGTCTGCTTTCCAGCTGACAGGTTCAGCTTCTTTAACTATTAAAAGCATACAGATAAAAATGGGTACAGTATGGGAAGAAGGGCAGGGGGCTGAATATGTAAACTGCTGATGGTGGGAAAGATTATATGTGCTTCATAATTAAATTGTTCAGATCGATATAGCGAAAAAAGTAGAGTGTTGAGTATACTTGGAGGAAAGAATGATGAGTTGGCGATTCTGAAATGCTCCTTATTTTATAAGGAGCAGTGATACTTAAAGAAATTGAGGTACATTGGTGGAAATGCTGCAGATTTGCAGGAAAACAGCAGCTTGATGGAGGGGCAGCTGACCGTATATAGTCCTTTCAAGAGCTGTGTAAATATATCAGGAAACTACATGCACATATTTGTAATGGAGACTATTATAGCAGAATAACTGCTATAAGCACTGGGATTCAGATCAAAGGAAGAGTAGTGTTCAAAGACTTTGCTAAAGGTGTGTGAATAAAATGTAAGGAGAATTAATTGAGTGTGGAAGAGGAATCAGAACTGTAGGGGAAAAAAGGAAAAGCAGCAGAAACAATGCACAAGGAAAACTGCCCACTTTAGATACTTTTATCATTTTTGTTTAATTAGCAAACCCCAAAATCACCAGTTTATTTGTGTCCATTTTCAGCAAAACATCTGTAAAAGGTTTCCAGTCTTTTATAAAAGTACTTATGGACTTAGATACTTTAAACAGGACATATTTTAAATGGGAAGAGAGGAATTTCTGGAATTTAAGAGCTGGGATCTGGGAAACACCAGGATACAGAATTTACTGTCTTCTCATCTTTCCATTTTTCTTTTTTCTTTAAAAAAAAAAAAAAGCTTGTTTCAGTTTTTCTCTTTTTCCTAAGGGATAGTTTCCCTTTATCCAAATGGACTGTCCCCTGTCTTCTAAAATTTAAATAAAAAAAATTTTTTTAAGGTGGCAAGTCAATGGATTCCTACTTAAAAATAGCATCTCTGAATTCTGATCCATTTATTTTGAATAAATACGCATAGAATTGCAGATACGGTAAATGTAAAACTTGCACTGAGCTGAGATAATAAAAAATCCACAAAGTGGGCATTGCAAAGAAGAAACTCCTAATTATTTATAGCCTGAGACTTGGAGAAGTTTAATATTAACACATTTTGGTTTCAGGAATAAAGCTTAACCCAGTGCTTCCCATGTTGAAGAAAACCTTCATGTTAATATAGTTTAGGTGTCTTCTGGGGTCAATAGTAGATACCTCAAATAACCATTGATATGGAAACGTGAGAGAGGAAATTTTTTTAAAAAAACTCTGGAACATAGGCCTATAGAGATTTTTGATACTTGTATTATAGTACTCAAACGTTCTGTGTATATAAGACTTCTTTCTTGTCTGCATCAAAGAAATTGATTTGGTCAAGCTTTGTCTGTGAGCCTTCTGTTGAGTGAGTGAGTCCCTGAATAAAGGGTTAAGTGTCCAGAAACTGGAGGTTTTTAGTTATATCCCTATGAAGTGTGACACTCCCTTTTTTTACAGATTTTAAAGTCCGCGTAATTCAAAAACACATTGTGCAGATTACAACAGTTTAAAAAATGAATAATAATGTTAATCCTTCCCTCAATACTGCTTAACCTGAGTTAGAAGCTCAGTGAATTTAAACTGCCATTCGTAATCTTGTAGATGCCACAGTGTAGGGTGTTGTAATTCACAATTCCATCCGCAAATCGCATGTTGCTAAATGGAAGCGAAGTGGTAGAGGTGGAATGGCATGGGGATGGGGATGGCATGCAGCGGGGAGAGAAAAAAGTGAGGAGCTTGTTTAGTACTGTGTTTCCCCGAAAATAAGACCTTGTCTTGTATTTTTTTTTAACCCTGAAATAAGCGCTTGGCCTTATCGCCATGCGCTCAAAAGCCTGATTGGGCTTATTATCAGGGGATGTCTTATTTTGGGGGAAACAGGGTAAATTGTTGTGTGAGTGAAAAAGGGCACGAAATTGTCTTGAACGAAAGAGGATTTGGAAGAAGCTGCTATCAGTGGGATGCAATAGGCAAGATTGAGGCAATTTAGAATAACGGAAGCATCAAGAAGAAAAAAGGAAAATAATCCCAATGTACAGTACATTAAAAAGTCAAATAGAATAAAAAAATAAAACAGGCAGAATATATATTTGGAAAGCCCTATTCACATTTTGTTTAGTCGGCTTGGAGAATTTCTTGTTTAGATTGAGAAAATAGACATTCCTTGTAGCCAACAGTGAATATTAGAATCTAGCCTGGCACAGAACTAAGAAAATACTGAATAGTCTTCAATAAAGGTAGACCTCGACTTAAAACCACAATTGAGCTCAACATTTCCATAGTTAAGCAAGACAGTTGTTAAGTGAGTTTTGCCCCATTTTACCACCTTTCTTGCCACCATTGTTAAGGGAATCATTCAGTTGTTAAGTTAATAACACGGTTGTAAAGTGAATCTGGCTTCCCCATTGTCTTTGCTTGTCAGAAGGCCACAAAAGGGGATCATGTGACCCCTGGACACTCATAAATATGAGTTAGTTGCCAAGCACCTGACTTTTGTTCATGTGACCATGGGGGTGCTGCAGCAGTCATAAGTGTGAAAAAACGGTCATTTGATGGTTGTAAGTCAAGGACTATCTGTACAGGTAGTCCTCAATTTACAACAGTTCGCTTAGTGACTGTTTGAAGATACAATGGCACTGAAAAAAGTGACTTATGGCCATTTTTCACACTAATGACCGCTGCAGCATCCCCGTGGTCCCGTGATTTACATTCAGATGCTTGACAATTGACTCATATTTATGACGGTCACAGCATCCCAGGGTCATGTGATCCCCTTTTGCGACCTTCTGACAAGGAAAGTCAATGGGGAAACCAAATTCTGGTACTAGTTTAACAAATGCACATGATTCACTTAACAAATGCGATAAGAAAAATCGTAACATGGGGCAAAACTCACTTAACACATTCCTCACTTAACAACAGGAATTTTGGGCTGTATTTTGGTTGTAAGTTGAGGACTACCTGTATATAAGTTTGGGAAACACTGGGAGCCAGGTGATTTTCCTACAAGTCATCCTAACAGCCTTCTAAGTTCACCAGCAAATAGTAGTAATGGCCACGCTGCCTCACTCCATTGCATACAGTGGTGTATTACGTAGATCTGATGTCTCTCGCCCTCTTTTCCTTTAGAGCACACCTTGTTGACCTCCAGAAAAAACTGGAAGAACTGGAGCTGGATGAGCAGCAGAAGAAACGGCTGGAAGCTTTTCTCACCCAGAAGGCCAAAGTGGGAGAACTGAAAGACGACGATTTCGAGAGGATTTCGGAACTGGGAGCTGGCAATGGTGGGGTGGTCACCAAAGTACAACATAAACCCTCAGGGCTAATTATGGCACGGAAGGTGAGACCGGGTAAGGGGGAGAAGAGGGGCAACTCATTGTCCAAACGTGGGCCTGAATTCAGCCAATGACTTCAAGAAGGGACACCATCAAAGCAATAAACTTATCAAGTAATAAGAATGCCAACTGCAACTTTTGAACTGAGCTTTCAGAGACATGCAGGTAGTCCTCTGTGTATATGGCAGTTGGGGCTGGAATTTCCATTGCTAAGCATGTGGTCGTAAAGCCGTTCCGGTTGCTGTCATTAACTAAATCTCACAGTTGTTAGAAGAGGCAACTTCCTGCCAGCTCACAACCATTTAAAGAACGGTTGCTGGGATTGGGGATGTCTGTTTTAATGAAAAGAAGGACTAGGGGTGACATGATAACAGTCTTCCAATATCTCAGGGGCTGCCCCAAAGAAGAGGGGGGTCAAGCTTTTCTCCAAAGCACCTGAGAGCAGGACAAGAAGCAACGGGTGGAAAGTAATCAAGGAGAGAAGCAACTTAGAACTAAGGAGAAATTTTCAACTGGTCATCGCACGCACATGCGCGCCAGAAACCGGAAGACCAGGTGGCTGGTGCACATGTGCACACCAGAAACGGGAAGATGATCTTTCTGGTGTGCGCATGCACACTATACGGCTGCTCTTCCGGTTTCCGGCACATGCACTCCTGTTTTGCACTCGTTGTTGGACTAGAAGCCCTAAGGTCTCTTCCAATTCTGTTATTCTATATTCTATAACCAAAGTTAGTGGGAAAGCTGGCAGGAAGTTGCAAATTCCAGGCAGGCGTGTAAGGGAGACTTGGTGAGAGTGTGCGCTTTGACCGGCACAGTGTGAGCACAGAGGGGCTGGGGCTGAGTGTACGTGGGTGGAAGGAGACCTACCCCAGCAACGTGCAACGTTTCCTACTGGCTTTCCCATTTACTCTTTTGGGGAAGCCAGCAGGGAAGGTTGCAAATGGTGATCATGTGACCTAGGGTGCTGTGACCAGTGGTTAGTGCAAACCAGTTGCCACGGATCTCAGGCATGTGACTACAGGAATGCTGGGGCAGTTAGAACCCCAAGGACTCTATTCATTCAATGCTTTGTAGTTTTGAACAGTTGCTGAACGGTCATAGGTCAAGAACTACTTTTAGCCTCTTTGACAATTTTTATTTAGGGCAGCCATATAATCTAAAAATTAAACCCCACCCAAAGACAGATGACTGGAAACCCAAAACTGAAAAAAGCCAAGCACCCAATAACCATCCAAAGGGGCTGGACCCCAATCTTGCCGAAGGAAAAAGGGAAACAACCTTTAAGCAAGTAGTCAGAAGGAGGAGTTCTGTGCAAAATTTCTAGAGTGATACCATTGATGATGCAATGATTGTAAGTGTGAAAAACGGTCGTAAGTTGTTTTTTTCCAGTGCCGTTGTAACTTTGAGCAGTCACTAAATGAATGATTGTAAATTGAGGGCTACCTGTAATCTGGAATGTGACTCCTGATTAATACAGCAGAGCATCAATACAGGTAGTCCTCAACTTAATGTTTACAATTGACCCAAAATTTCCGTTGTTAAGTGAGACCTTTAAGTCAGTTTTTCCCCTTTTTACAACCTTTCTTGCCGCGGTTGTTAAGTGAATCACCACAGTTGATAAATTAGTAACCTGATTGTTAAATGAAATTAGCTTCCCAATCGATTTTGTTTGTCAAAAGATTGCAAAAGGGGATCCCATGACCTTGGGACACAGCAACAGTCATTAGTACAAGTCAGTTGCCAAACATCTGTATTTTGATCACGTGATCATGGGGATGCTACAAAGGTCATAGGTGTGAAAAATGGACCTAAGTCACTTTTTTCAGTGCCGTTGTAACTTTGAACGGTCACTAAATGAACTGTAAGTCGAGGACTGCCTATACTAAAATATTGCAACAGCTTAGAGCCTCACTACTACGAATGTAAGGTCATTGTTTTAAATCCAATTTTCTGGATTGCCTAGGGCTAGGCAATAAATCTAGTTGCCTAGATTTCTTGTGGTATCTACACAATTTTATTTAAGGATTTGCTTCACCCTTTACTAGAGACGACTTCATTTGATGACAAAAGCATGTTGTTGTGGCTTTCTTGGCAACTTTAGAGTGTCTTTTTTCCCCATTTCAAATCCAGCCTGCTACTCTGAACTATCCCGTTTAGCTTTTCACAATCAGCCAAGGTTGGCTTCGCCAGTTGCGTCCCTTTCTGGATCGGGATTCCTTACGCACAGTCACTCAGGCACTCGTCACTTCCCACCTGGACTACTGCAATGCTCTCTACATGGGGCTCCCCTTGAGGAGCATCCGGAGGCTCCAACTGGTGCAGAATGCAGCCGCGCAGGGGATTATGGGAGCGAGGGGGCGCTCCCATGTGACCCCTCTCCTGCGTGAGCTGCATTGGCTTCCAGTGGTCTTCGGGGTGCGCTTCAAGGTGTTGGTCACCACCTTTAAAGCGCTCCATGGCATAGGACCTGAGTATTTGCGGGACCGCCTTCTGCCGCCGATAGCCTCCCACCGACCAGTACGCTCCCACAGAGAGGGACTCCTCAGGGTGCCGTCAGCCAGGCAATGTCGGCTGGCGACCCCCAGGGGGAGGGCCTTCTCTGTGGCAGCTCCTGCCCTCTGGGAACAATTTGCCCCTGGAGATACGAAGGATATCGGATCTCCGGGTCTTTCGCCGTGCCCTAAAAACTTTTCCATCAGGCAGGGCTGGCGTGACCCCCCCCCCTTTTTTTTTTTTCTTTTTTTTTTTAGCTTTTTAAATTGTCAATGGGTTTTAGTTTGAATGTTTTAAATTTTGGGCCAAAGTCATGTAATTCTTTTAAAAATTTTCAATTTTGTATTGGTATGTGTTTTAGTTCTGGCTGTGCACCGCCCTGAGTCCACTAGGAGAAGGGCGGGATACAAATTGAATAAAATAAATAAATTAAATAAATAAACTTGTCATCTATTATGACTTCTCTGTTGTTATCAGGATCTGACCCTGTTAGCCTTTCGTAAAACTCTGAAGAGCTGACTGTTTCCACGGGAATTTGGGCCAGGAGGCTAGGCGAGCCCTTCTGGTGATGTGGTCCTATGATTAAGGTGTCACATGTTCTTATATTTAATTGCTGGTTTTAATATTTGTATGCTGCCTAGAGTCACTAATGTGAGATGGGCAGCCATGTAAATTTATTTAAATAATCTTTTTTTGGTGCAAGATTGTATTCTTGATACTGTATTGATGCCTATTTAAACTGCAAATGTGAAGTTCCTGTGGCTTCTAACTAACAAGTATTCCTCGACTTACAAGCATTCATTTAGTGACCATGCGAAATTACAACGGCACTGAAAAAGATGACTTACAATCAGTTCTCACACTTACGACCATCGCAGCATCCTCATAGTCACCTGATCAAAATTTGGGTGCTTGGCAACTGGCATGTATTTACAACAGTTGCAACATCTTGGATCATGTGATCACATTGTGGGAGGCCAGATTAGCTTAATGACCACATGACTCATTTAACAATCGCCGTGATTCATTTAACAATTGTGGCAAAAAAAGTTGTCAGATCAGGTGTGATTCACCTTAGCAACCGCCTGAAATTCTGGTCCCAGTTGTGGTTGTGAGTGGAAGACTTCCTGTAGTGATTTTCAGTCCATGTCCCACCCATAATTGTAAAAAAAATAATAGGTGTTTCTCCTCTAAGGTGATGGAAAACACTTAGATGGACTTCTCCTGTCTCTGAAGCACTGCGATAAGAGAAGTTGGAATTCATCTGTAATTTTGGCCTTTGTTTTCTGATTTGGCTTATGTGACCTAATGTGAGTGAGAATGAAAATCAAAGAGAAAAAGACAGGAAGGAGCACTAATAGAGACCTAGCAGCCTCTTTTTTTTAAAAAAAAAATGGTGCTTCTATCTTCTGCTTTAATGGAAGAGAAAGTTTGATGATTGGTAGGATGGATATTATAGTCAAAGCTATGGTCTTCCCAGTAGAAATGTATGGCTATGAGAGTTGGAGCATAAGGAAAGTTGAGCATCAAAGAATTGAACCAAAGCTTTCGAATTGTGGTGCTGGAGAAGACCCTTTGATAGCCCCTTGGACTGCAAGGAGATCAAATCAGTCAATCCTAAAGGAAATCAACACTGACTGTTCTTTGGAAGGACAGATCCTGAAGCTGAAGATCAAATACTTTTGTCTATGGAGTTATCCAGGTCATGATTGTCCCAAAGATGCTTTTTCAAGAGGCAATTTTTGTTTTTTCTTTGAAGACATTTTGCTTCTCATCCAAGAAACTTCTTCATCTTCTCATCCAAGAAGCTGAAGAAACTTCTTGGAGGAGAAGCGAAACGTCTTAAAAAAACAAAAAAACAAAAACAAATTGCCTCTTGAAAAAGCACCTTTGGGACTCAAATACTTTGGCCGCCCAATGAGAAGAGAGGGGCCTGGTGGTTCAGCAGACTAAAAGCATTGTGATTAATACCAGCTGTCTGCAATTACTGTAAGTTCAAATCTCACCAGGTTCAAGGTTGACTCAGCCTTCCATCCTTTCTAAGATAGGAAAATTGAGGACTCAGTTTATGGGGGCAATAAGCTGACTTTGTATAAATATACAAAAGTATGAAGGCTATTGCTTAACGCATTGTAAGCCGCCCTGAGTCTCCGGAGAAGGGTGGCATATAAATCAAATCAAAAAAAAAAAGAGAGAGAACTCCTTGGAGAAAACCCCGATGTTGGGAAAGACCGAAGGCAAAAGGAGAAGGGGACAGCAGAGGGTGAGGTGGTTAGATAGTGTCATTGACCCAATGAATGTGATATTTGGGCAGAGTCTGGGAGACAATGTAGAGCAGAGGGGACCTGGTGTGCTGTGCCCCATGTGGTCATAAAAGTCAGACACGACATAGTGATTGAACAACAATAACAAAGGATGGATATCTTGTACCTTTTTCCTATGGAAGATATGCTAGCAGGTTGGGTGGCTGATTGGTTTGCTCTCCTTTGCAAAATTGTACATCTGGTACGGAAAGAACATTTGCGCAACATAAGGCTTCAACTCTTCTGTGAACCGTCTTCCATAAATTTGGTTTCGGTGCTCCATTCCTGAGCCGTGCGAGCGTTCCTATGGTGACTGCTTCCTTCCCACTTCTCTTCTGCTGCTGCTTTTCTTTTTTCTTTTTTTGCACTACTAAGTAGGTTATACTGCATGCCTTCTTGGATGCAGAATCATTAGCAAATGTAGAGCTATAATTGCAGTCCCATAACTCTCAGTTATTGAGCAAGGGTGTCTGCCAATAGCTTTTAAAAGGCCAGAAACACATCTCAGGGTTGACACTGCAATCATAACACAATACAACTTGGTCTCTTATGTGAATGAATTGTGTATTGCAAAATCATATTTCTAAACTTGTGTCTTTTATATTTATACATATTCCTGTTTCTACGATTTTAAAGGGGGGTTATTGATGTATTTCACTGTTGGGTGATCTGCCTCGATGTATGGACAACAGTTCGAGTACAGCGAATGGATTAAAAAATGAAACACTATAAAAACAAAAAGAAAGACATAATTAATTGTAAGTTATAAGTAAATATATTACTTATAATTAATGGAAATTGTCCAGATGGTCACCAGAACATTAAATTCTATTTAAATTGCAAAATGTGCTTCTCAGTTGCAAAAATGACTTGCCGGAAACAGTCAAATTCTGAGGGCTTATTTTAGTCTGGTCTTTTAAATTCTGTAATGTTAATAAAATGGAAGATTTTTAAAAAAATTCTTTAAGCAAGTTGGGAAAAATGCAAAAAGAAACATTGAATGAATATTAGTGTTATGGAATCCCAATAGAGATTTGAATAAATCTGATCTGTGGTAAAATCAGAAGCAGCTTTTTCTTGTGCAAATAGAGAATGCCAAATCTTGCAGTCTATCCGTACTTCGTCTGGCTGTCATCTATACACCATTAAAACGCTTTTGTCTGTTTGTAACCTTCAATTATCCAAAACATGATATGGCAACAATTTTTGAATCAACGTATCTCAAATGTACTAACTTAAAGAATTTGTACTAAAAATGTGGGGCTCGTTACTTCTGTGGAATTGAAATTTCAAGGATCTCCAGACCAGTTGTACTCACAAACTGGTTGTCCCTGCAGTGCCACTTTGGTCAGCTGCATTCACGTAATCGTGATTTTCAGTGCTTCCTGCCACTTCTCCTAAGTGAAGTCAATGTGGAAGCCGGCAGGAAGTTGGAGGTGGTTCTTGTTCCCACTGCTTTTTTGCTTGCCCTGAGTCATTCTGTTGATCTCTGTAGTTAGCAATAGCATTTAGACTTATATACTGCTTCATAGTGCTTTACAGCCCTCTCTAAGAGGTTTATAGAGTCAGCATATTGCCCCCAGCAATCTGGGTCCTCATTTTACCAACCTCAAAAGGATAGAAGGCTGAGCCAACCTTGAGCCTGGTGAGATATGAATTGCCAAATTGCAGGCAGCCGGCAGGCAGCAGAAGTAGCCTGCCATACTGCAATCTAACCACTGCGCCACCATCGGGTGGGTTCTACTTTACTACCGGTTCGCAACGGGACCACGTGCGCACTTCTGCGTATGCGCAGAAACTTCCTGATGACGGTGAGCAGAGCCTCCCACCGGTTTTACTACCAGTTCTTGTGAACTGGTCCAAACCAGGGGCAACCCATCACTGGCCACCATGGTTAGTTAAATTGATAAAAGGATGACCTAATGAGTCATAAGCAGTTTAGTTCTCTTTCAAAATGTATTAATAGTCTAATAATCAAGGCTGTTGATTAATTTAAGAAAGGTTTGTAGTGACTAATGACAACCAACATAGAATTTTGTCAGTAGCAATTGAGTCCACTAATACCGGTTTATTTGCATGGGGCTATTTCATAATAAACTGCGTCTAGCAAGCAAATTTAGGTCTCTTCCCAATGGGAAGAGGCACGGTGGCTCAGTGGCTTAAAAGATGCCAGAGAAGCTCTGTGCTCTGGCGGTTCGAGTTCTACCACCGTGTGACGGAATGAGCTCCCATCACTTGCCTCAGCTCTTGCCCACCTAGCAGTTTGAAAGCATGTAAGTGCAAGTAGATAAATAGGTATCACTTCAGTGGGAAGGCAACAGTGCTCCGTGTTTTGCTGCATGCTCTGCGCTGTGATGTCATGCTGGCTCCAGGACCACAAATATTTTCAGACAGCACTGGCTCAGTGGCTTAGAAAAGGAGACTAGCGGAGTAAAACCCGCAGAGATATCTTTTACCTTTACCCAATGTGAAATTTCAAATAACAAACACTCTGTGGCACATCTTCAGATTTGGCCTTTTAAAAGAAAGCAGAACATGCCATTCTATTAACAGCATTACATTACAACTTTTAATTTCTGTTAGCAAAGCATTTAAAAACAGCAGTGATTTTTTTTCCCCCTCCAGGAAAGATGTACGGGCTTGACTGAGTCACAGCCAGCCATTCCCCTCTTAACTACCTTTCCCCTATGAGTAATGAGGGTAGAACCTGTGTCTGCTGTTTATCGGCTAATGTACCTTCCATGGCCTGGAAGAATATTTTTTTTAAAAAATGAAACAATTTAGCATAAGTAAAATAGTTTCATGTTTAAGCAGTAGACCGTAATACTATAAAAGCATAAAATTCTTTCAAGTCGGAATGGTAAGGTTTGGAAAAGTTTCCCCAAGGATACCAGAATTCCCAACTGGGTTATTTGTTGTTAAACTAGGACTGAATCCCAGCTTAGTTAGGCTTTTGTCTGATTAAAGTAATCTAGTCCATATATATCTGGGAGGCTGAGACATGTAGAGGCTGTACCAGTGCTGGCCTAGGAACTAGGCGACTGTGAATTATAGTCCTTTACCAGTCCTCCCTACAATTATGCCTGGCACAATTGTTTTTGGAGCTGTTCTGCACTATCTTCATCCTTTGATATGTGTCTCTCTCTCTCTCTCTCTTGTTTCCTCCACAGCTGATTCATTTGGAGATCAAGCCTGCCATACGAAACCAGATTATCCGGGAGCTCCAAGTGCTTCACGAGTGCAATTCTCCATACATCGTCGGTTTCTACGGCGCCTTCTACAGTGACGGGGAGATCAGCATTTGCATGGAGCATATGGTGAGGGCATATTCCCCGTGCAGAATGGGATAGGTGCCTTATTCAGCATCAAAGGTTTTCATGGACCTTACCGAGCTTTGATTACGGGAAGCCAATCCACTTCACAACTAAGACCAGAATTTCCGTTGCTAGGCGAAACATTTGTTCAGTGAATTTTGCCCCATTTTACCACTTTTTCTTGCCGCTGTTGTTAAGTGAATCAATGCAGTTAGTGAAATAGTAGCACAGTTGTTAAGTGAAACTGGCTTCCCCGTTGACTTTGTCAGAAGGTCGCAATAGGTGATCACATGACTCCTGGACACTGCAACCATCCTAAAAACGTGACTCGGTTGCCAAGCATCTGAATTTTGATCATGTGACCACGGGAATGCTGTGGTGGTCGTAAGTGTGAAAAATGGTCATAAGTCACTTTTTTCAGTGACGTAACTTTGAAAAGTCCCTAAATGAACTGTTGTAAGTAGAGGACTACCTGTAGTATTCCCAATGTTTCTTTTCTGCTTAGGTCTCCATTACCAATAACAAGCCACTTTCTTCCACAGTATGAGGAGAATTCTTGATTTATTGGGATTATTGGCTAATCTTCCTGATCTTTGCTACCAGATTGCTTCAGATAGTGAATGGCTTATCAGGAGGACAAGCCAGAAATCCACTCCAGATGTAACATAAAAGCAAGCAGATTATGGGCTGAGATACCATAGTTTGCTTAGCCTTCCCATGCTTAATCCCGATAAGAGATCAAATCATTGGATATTACTGAGATAGTTAGTGTATTTGAGAATGCTGATGGCTGCTTAATTGTTTCCTTCTTTGGGAAATATTAGTAGCCGGTGGAAATCCATTGAGATTCCAGCCATGATGGTATTTATTGGCTTAAAATGTTTATTTATGTATTTTTATTTATTTTTTTTATTTATATGCGGTCCTTCTCCGGGGACTCAGGGCGGCTTACAAGGCGATAAGCAATAGCCTCATACTTTTGTATATTATATACAAAGTCAGCTTATTGCCCCCACAAACCGGGTCCTTATTTTACCTACCTTTAGAAAGGATGGAAGGCTGAGTCAACCTTGAGCCTGGTGAGAATTGAACTCGCAGTAATTGCAGGCAGCTGGAAGCTAAATACTACCTTTAACAGTAGCATTAGTCTGCTGTGCCACTCAGGCTCCTTTATTTGATTTTTATTTGATTTGATTTTGATCCCACCTTTATTATTATTTATAAATAACTCAAGGCAGCAAATATATCTTCTGTATTTCCCACATCAACCACCCTGTGAGATGAGTTGGGCTAAGAAAGAGAGAGAGGGCCTGGCTCAAAGTCACCCAACTGGTTTTTCATATAAGGACTATAACTCACAGTCGCCTAGGCCAGCACCTTAAAAAGAATCTGTAGTGGTACAGCCTCTACGTTTCTCTGTTCTCCCAGCATGTAAGACAAGAGCTTTCTGCCATTGCACAATAATCTGAGTGCCAGGCAGACTGAATATTATAACAGCAAAAGGCACATGAAGTACAGGTAGTCCTCCATTTACGACCACAACTGAGCCCAAAATTTTGGTTGTTAAGTGAGACATTTGTTAAGTGAGTTTGGCCCATTTTACAACTTTCCTTGCCACAGCTGTTAAGTGAATCAATCACAGCTGTACAGGTAGTCCTCAATTTACAACCACTTGTTTAGTAACTGTTCAAAGTTACAACAGCACATGAAAAAAATGTTTTTCACACGACTGTTGCAGCAACCCACTATGGTGCCATGATCGAAATTCAGACCCTTGGCAACTGGTTCCTATTTGTGACGGTTGCACAGGTCATGGGATCGCTTTTCTGACAAGCAAAGTCCACGAGGAAGCCAGATTCACTAACAACAGCATCATGTCAGGGTTCCAAGTGAGGCACCCATAGCCAACAAAATTCCGAGGCAAGTGGATTCCTCAAAGAATAGCTTTATTGGATATATCATATTGGCATAGAGCTGGTGAAAACCATGGGAAACTTCAGAGTCAGTTTTCATCTAATTAAAAGTAAAAGTTTTTCCCTTTCACCAAACAATCAGTCACATGGTCCAATTGAGGTGCCGTCTGGTTGCTGGGTAACATCGCTCCTCCTCTCTTTCTCTCTCTGACTAGGTGTGAGAATGTCCTTGGTTCCCAAGAGAAAGTATTTTGTTTTGGCTACAAAACCCCAGCTATCTCTATTTTTCCCCCTCCCTTCCTAGCCCACAGCTCCAGTGTGGCAACACTAAAGTGACAAAATGGCTTCGGTCAGGTCAGCTTCCAGTTTGACACAGCAATTCACTTCACAACCATGGCAAGCAGGGGCATAAAAAGGGGCAAAACTCAACCGTATTAGCAACAGAAATTTTGGGTTCAATTGTGGTCATAAGCCAAAGGACTACCTGGGGAGTAATCTCTGAGAAATATGTTAATTGTCTGTCTCATAGGATAGAGAACGAGCAGTTTCTTGGCAAGGCCGATATCTCTGAGCATGGAATCCGTCACCGGGGAAAATGTCGTCTCCCCGCCATCCTTGTTTGTAGTACAAAGTCGGTGCTGCCATCTGTTGACTTAATTCTAAAACTGGCAGAGTCCCCTTTTCAAAAGCAAAGCCACCTAAACATTGTACATTACAACAACGAGTACCCAACTGCAGGCAACCTCGCCAGCTTCTTTAAGATGCCCAGAAATGACTCTTCCCATGTCTCAAGACTTAGGTACCTCTTTAGTTCCTCTCCTGGAAGCAGGTGCTCAAATCCTAACCGCCTGAACCGTTGACTCTCTTGGGTTCGGATTTTGCCTCTTGACAATTACGTCCGTATTTGTGCGGCTTGGAAAAAAGTAAATGATTGCAGAGCATTTTCCACGAAAAAAGGAGTGGGAAGAACTGGCCTCTTATGATAAATATTGGGGATTAAAAGCTGCCCTTAGATAACGCTATATAAAGGGAGGCCTGATGGCAAATTTATTTATTTGTTTATATGTCTGTGGAGATTCTCAGTCCTCCGGGTCATGGCTGCCCCAAAGGTGAGACAGCTTTTTTTCAAGAGGCGACCGGACTTCCTGGTTTTTTCTTTGAAGATGTTTCGCTTCTCATCCATCATTATTTATTTATACCTCTCCGTTATTGTTTTTTCAAATAACTCAAGGTGGCAGATACATTCATCTTCCTCCTCCTGTTTTTCCCACAACAACTCTGTGAGGTGGATTGGGCCGGGAGTGAGGGACTGGCCCAAAGTCAGCCAGTTGGTTTCATGGCTAAAGCTAGACGAGTCCTCATTTTCTAGCCTGATGCCCCTTAACCGCTCGGCCCATCTGGCACATAGAGGAAGTCCTCAACTTACGACCGTAATGGAGCCCGCCCATTATGGTCGTGAGTCCATATAAGTACATTTTATTATACGTCACTCAAGAGTCGCTCTCTGAGGGAGACCGGCAGTTCAAAAAGGTAAAAAATCAATAAATTGTGACGATTGTAAAGCAGGTCATCCATGTGACTGACCCGATTTTATTACCTTTTTGTTTTTTTCAGGAGTCATTAAGTGAATGCTGTGGTCGTTAAGTGAACCTAGTGTTCACTATGGGGCATTTTCGCCGAAAACTGAAGGATGCTTTTTGACAAAAGCGTTGTAACTTGCAGTCATGTGACTGCAGGGCACTACAAACGGCCATAAATATGTGGGTCGATTGCCAGGTGCCCAGAATGCAGTTCACATGACCAGGATGGTTGTTGGATCTTTGGAATTAGGTTGTAAGTACCGGGGGGATGGGGGTGGAATCTGATGTAATTTTCACCATTCTTAAGTCAAGGACTACCTGTATAACACATCTCAGCATAGATGCACCATAAATAAATTGAGTTTCCCTGTTTTAACTGTCCTATTTAGAATAACTGTCCTATTTAGAATAACAGAGTTGGAAGGGATCTTGTAGGTCATCTAGTCCAACCCCCTGCCCAAGCAGGAGACCCTACGCCATTTCCCATTGGATGGCAGGATGACTCTTCTTGAAAGCCTCCAGTCATGAAGCTCTCACAACTTCCAAAGGCAACTTCTGTTCCATTGGTTGATTGATCTCATGGTCAGAAAATTCCTCCTTATTTCCAGGTTGAAGCTCTCCTGGATCAGTTTCCATCCGTTATTCCTTGTCTGGCCTTCGGGTGCTTTGGAAAATAGCACTTATTTCTCCCTCCTCTGTCATTTCTCTATTTTGCTGCATTTTAAGTTACTCACGACAAGGATCCCACTGTTTGTACCATTTAAGGTGCCATATTAAAACCTCTACAGCATGTACATAATAAAAATGGGATAACCCTGTAGTAGTGCTGGAGGAGGAAGAGGAGGTTTTCTCCGATTAAACCAATTTGTCCCAGAAATATGATGGGTATTCATCTCCCTTCACTTTGTCTTCTGCCAGGTCTTCCAGTGGCCTGGTCTTGAACGTTCTCCTCACCTTGCTAAATTCAGCTGGTGGCTGGTGTATTCATCTTGTATCCCAGCAGGTCAAGGTGATGCATGTAATACTCCCTCATCCATTTTGCTCTCCTAGCAACCATCCTGTGAGATTGATCGCGGCTGACAGTTACTGAGGCCGATGGTCATGTGAGGACACGAACATGAACCTTCCTGGTCCCCTTGCAGCCTGACAGTGGCATCGGCACAGAAGCCACCGTTAGGATTTGTTACAGCATTCTGCCCTTTTCCGGACAGAATATTCCCCATGCGTTCTGCAAAGATTTTAACCTCCTGTGGTACAAGAACAGTAGATGTGCTGCATAGGTTTATGGGGTGTCTTCATGATGATGATATCCATTCAGTCATAACTGATTCTTGGCAATTCTATGGACCAGGTCTCTTCCGATCTTGCTTCTTTTGAGTTTTTCCATGTTCTGGCTGATGTCATCTTTGAAGGTATCCAGGCCGCCGTGTTCTTTGGAGGCCTGGTTTCCTTTTACCGCTAACTCTTCCGAACATTATTGCTTTCTACAGTGAATGGGGTGCCTTAGCCAAGCCATATATTGTTTCAAGTAACCCAGATGTAATACATTCTGTTACCGTGTTTCCCCAAAAATAAGACCCTGTCTTATATTTTTTTTTTTGAACCCCGAAATAAGCACTTGGACTTATTTTCAGGGAGGTCTTATTATTTTGGGGGCGTGTGGAGCAAGATGGGGCTCCTCTTGCCATCTTACCTGATTTCCAGCTCTGCGTTTAAATATTTTTGGGGAGGGCTTATTTTCGGGGGGAGGCTTATTTTAGCGCATGTGCTCAAAAGCCCGATTGGGCTTATTATCAGGGGATGTCTTATTTTCGGGGCAACAGGGTAAGAAGGAAGGTACCTTGTGTTACAAAAATATACTAAGAATCTTCAGGAAAACCTCACTTTTTGTGTGATGGACAGCTATATAAATTTTATAAATGAATTTTTAAAAATGAGAATCTGCTTCATTAGTCCTCCTGAACTATAGCTGATTAAAGCAGATGGAGAATGGTTGACAACAAAGAGGGTTTAACATTTTGCTTCCTGACTGTTGATCAGAGCTCCTGAGAATCGTCTTTGGCTCTGTCAATCAACTTTCCTATAGAATTCATTATTAAGAGGTTTGGTTGTGGCAAGGTGGGGTTGTGTCTTCTCTAGCAGCGCCCCGTTCGCAGAATGCTTCTTGAGGGGGTAGCCTGTCCTTTCTTTGTCTAATTTCAGGCAAGTTGTTTGAAATTTTATATGCCTTGTACTTTTCAAGTGATACTAAGATATTCTTTGGGCTCTTTCTTACTTAAATCTGGTTTCTTATTCATTTGGTTGGGTGGGATGTTTTCTGATTCTAAATTTTAAGATAATGTAGGGTGCTGCTGGCCTAAAAACCAGGAGACTGGGAATTCTAGTCCCACTTTAAGTCTGAAAACAGGCTGCCTTAGGCATGAAAGCACAAGATGGTGAGTTCTAGTACTGCATTTGGCATGAAATCTGGCTGGGTGACTTTGAGCCTATCACCAGGAGATGGTGAATTCTAGTACCGTCTTAGGTATGGAAGTCGGCTAGATGACTGGATCAATCACCAGGGGATGGTGAGTTCTAGAAAAGCGTTAGATATGAAACCTGGCTGGGTGACTTTGGGCCAATCACCTGAAGATGGTGAGTTGTAATTTCACCTTAGCACAAAAGAGCTAGGTGACTTTGGGCCAGTCCCTTTCTCTCAGCCCAACTCACCTCGCAGGGTTGTTGCTGCAGGGACAATAGGAGGAGGAAGGAGTGTGTATGTTCTCCACTTTGAGATAAAGCAATAAAGGCGGGATTAAAAGCCAACGAATAAATCAACCTAATTACCTTTCCCTGGTTTTAGGATGGCGGTTCCTTGGATCAGGTTTTGAAAGAAGCCAAGAGGATTCCTGAAGAAATTTTGGGCAAAGTCAGTATAGCAGTGAGTATGCAGCTGCCTCTTTTTAATTACCCCAAACAAGGTTTTGCGAGATACAGAGTCTCATCTGTATCCTTCTAGAAGCATTTGGGCACCGAATTATCCCTTCAGTCAGAGACAGCCACCCTCTGTTCTGTCACACATTTGTATGGCTCTTTATTTTTTAGTTTCCCATTTATAAAATGGGGATCATGTTTGCTTCCATCCCTCAAATACTGATTCTCCTCCTCTCCTCTCCTCTCCTCTCCTCTCCCCTCCCCTCCCCTCCCCTCCTCTTCTCTCCTCTTCCCCTCTCCTCTCCTCTCCTCTTCCCCTCTCCTCTCCTCTCCTCTCCTCTCCTCTCCTCTTTTCAGGTTCTGCGAGGATTGGCTTATTTACGAGAGAAGCACCAAATCATGCACCGAGGTAAGCATTGGTTGTAATAGAAGGAGGAGTCTGCATATGTAAGTGAACTGGGGTTGTGTAGCTCTTATTATATACATATACATATACATACATACATACATACATACATACATACATACATACATAGTGGCTGTATGGTACACTGCCTGGCTTGTGGATTTTTGCAACTTTGTGGGGGTTGTTAAAAATCTGGAAATTGTGTTGTGTTCTATATTGCACAGTTCTTACACAGACCATAGCTTCTTCTTACTGGCAGCTGCTTTAGAGGGAAGCCTCTTCTGTCACCTTTGTGTTCGTGTTGGAACTGGGGAGTGGGGGGGGAGGGGTTGCTTATTAAGAAAAGCCCTTCACAGTAATGAAATTCACCACTTGCAGTTTTAAGTCTTCCAAATTTTGCTTTCCGGCAATGGAAGGAGAATTTGGGCAGGGGCTCGTTTCCATTGTGAGTTTCCTGAGTCTCAGAAAAGTTTTGGGGGACCATACACGCAGGGGAAAGGGATTGCACGATGATCTCTGAAGAACACCAGGGGATGGACAACATCTAGGCCTACATAAAATCAGCTCAAAGTCACAGGTTCATTGGGCCCACAGTACGGCCATTGAGAATACAGGTAGTCCTCAATTTATGACCACAGTTGAGTCCAAAATTTCCATTGCTAAGCAAGACCACCTTGTTTTTCTTGACACAGTTGTTAAGTGAATCACTGCCATTGTTAAGTCAGTAGCATAGTTGCAAAAGGGGATCACGTGATCCTGGGACGCTGCAACCGTCATAAATGTGAACCAGTTGCCAAACATCCAAATTTTGATCACGTGACTGGATATTGATGCAACATTTGTAAGGGTGAAAACGGTCCCAAGATGCTTTTTTCAGTGCCATTGTGACTTTGAACAGTCACTAAACAAATGGTTGTTGAGGGCTACCTGTATTCATTGGTTTATTAATATTAATAGTTTATTATTTTTTTGCTATTTAATTTGAGTGTTTTTAACCTTAGCAACTTTAAGATAGGTGGACCTCAATTCCCAGAATTCCCCAGCCAGCCATGTTGATTTAATCCAAGAGTTTGGCCACGGTCTAAAAGACCCTTTGCAAGGTTCTTTCCTGTCTTCATTAGGGGGGAGAAACCATAGAGCTTTTATCTAGAACAGTCTCCAAGTGGAATTCCTTTTTAGGATGCCTTTTCAGTGTTTGGTTGTGGTTTCCACCCACCCCCTGCCCCCCTCTTTGTCTCTTAAAACAATTTTTCATTTGCAGATGTGAAGCCTTCTAACATCTTGGTGAATTCCCGAGGTGAGATTAAGCTGTGTGATTTTGGAGTCAGCGGGCAGCTCATCGACTCCATGGCCAATTCCTTCGTGGGCACCCGATCCTACATGTCTGTAGGTCCTCTTCCTTCCTTACGTGCTGTTTTTTAAAAACGGAGTTAGGTCACGTAAAGTTTGTCCTGTGGGGAGGGATTGCTACTATATGACAGCTGGTGTGGGGATGTTGTAATGAAGATTGCCTAACTTTAACCCCTCCCTCTCCCTCCCTCCCTCTCTCTCTCTCTCTCTCTCTCTTTCTCTCTCTCTCTCTCTTGTGATGGATTGTGCTTTGTTACAGCTATGTCGCCTTAAACCGATATTTTTCCAACCTTGGGAACTTTTAACATGAAGATTTCAACTCCCAGAATTCCCCAGCCAGCCATGCAGGCTGGGGAATTCTGGGACTTGAAGTCCACACATCTTAAAGTTCCCAAGGTTAGCATCATTGCCATAATAAATGGTGTCTTCCTTTAAGCTAGATTTGTTTTTTTCTGATCTCAACTACCTTTGGGTTGTGAATGCCTTCATTTTTCTGGCAGAAACTGTTCCTCTCCAAGCCTATCCTTAATCCTGTCTGATGGAGAGGAAGCTCAGGCATTTGTATCAGATACAACAAGTCCATATAAACAGCTAAATTAAAGCAGCAGACAAAACCAGAATTCTTTACAATTCTGACCTTGTGTGTGATTGGCTGGCGAGCCATTCGGTTGCTTCCACTGGGCTCCTTTGACTAATAAGAAGAGTTAGAATTAGACCTGAAGAAGCTTGTTGGACGAGAAGCGAAATGTTTTTAAAGAAAACAAGAAAGTCCAGTTGCCCTTTAGAAATAGCAATAGCACTTAGAGGTATATGCCACTTCACAGTGCTTTACAGCCCTCTCTAAGCAGTTTACAGAATCAGCATATTGCCCCAAACAATCTGGGTCCTCATTTTACCCACTTCAGAAGGATGGAAGGCTGAGTCAGCCTTGAGCCTGTCAGGGTCGAACTGCTGGCAGTGGACAGAGTCAGCCTGCAATATAGCATTCTAACACTGCACCACCACCATAGTTCTTGAGATAGGGAGGGAGAGAGGGGGGGTAGGTAGTTAGGTGGAGGGAGAGAGATGATAGGTAGATAGACAGACACAGCAATAGATAGCAATAGATAGATATTGTAGATCAGGCGTGTCAAACTCGCGGCATCACATGACGTATCGGGACTTTTCCTCCCCATTCGCTAAACCAGACGTGGCTAGGGTATGACGCATCCAGCCTGTGGGCTGCGAGACTGACAGCCCTGTTGTAGATAGACAGAAGATAGAGATAGAGGGATATATGATAATTAGCAATAGCACTTAGACTTACATACCGCTTCACGGTGTTTTACAGCCCTCTCTGAGCGGTTTACAGAATCAGCCTCTTTCCCTCAACAATCTGGGTCCTTGTTTTACTGACCTCGGAAGGCTGAATCAACCTTGAGCTGGTCAGGATCAAACTGCTGGCAGTGAGCAGAGTCAGCCTGCAACACTACATTCTAACCACTGCATCACCACGACTCCTTTTGGGGAAAAAGAAAACCCTTGGGACAACCATAATCTACATGATTGAGAATTTCCATAGACATTAAAAAGAGGAAGCTTCTCCTGTGGCCCTAGTTTGATTTCTCAATAAGCATGAAATACAGAATCTGACTTCCGATTCTATTGGGTTCAAAGAACAGAACCAAAGTACAAACCTATTACCGTATATACAAAATGAGTGGATCTTTTTAGATTCGTTTGTTCAGCAGGAACAAAATGGGGAGCGAAGGCACAGTCTTGACTGGATCAAAAGAAGTTGGAATCCTGGTGTTATGTTCTGTTTTTTTATTTATATACTAGCTGGTAACCCGGTGTTGCCTGGATATTTATAGACATCAAAGCCTTTGTCTGACGGAGCCATTGAGAGGGGCCTTTCTTCCCCCTACTCCCATGCCCATCATCCCTGCCCTCTCCCTTCCCCTCCCATGCGCTCCTCTTTCCCGCCCTGTCTATGATCCTGGCACTTTGCCCCAAATCCATCAGGCGCTTCCCCATTGCTCCACTGGAGGGAGAACATCACACTGCCTTTCCAGAGGAAGCTGCGAAGGAACTGACATCACAAACAATTGCTACTCTAGGACGCCGCACTCGCTGTCCTTAACGGCCCAGGCGTTCCACAGTTATGCTGGAACACACACACACACAGACACACACACATTCACACACATCTCCGGGGTATCTTACCCCCACAGTATTTGTTTCCAGATAGTAAATCATCTGTGTACCAAGTTTGGTTGAAATTGCTCGAAGTGTTCCAGAGTTATGCTGGAACATACATACATACAGCCTTTTTTATATAGAGATTGCATTTCTGTGCCACCCACCTCACTGTTACAGTGACTCTGGGCGGCTTGCAGCATGGTAAATAGGTAAAAACGATGATGCAAAACGATTAAAATCAGGAGGCTTAAATAAGAGACTAAAAACCATGAGGACAGGTGACATGAGGGTGGGGATCTTTCTAGCCGGTCAACCGCCCCCAACATAGTGCTCTCTTGTTGGGGCCCCAGATGAGCCGGCAGAGCCGGGATTTTCCAGGCTCTTCCAACAAGCCAGGATTGTGGGCCCAACTCCAGCAGAGAGAATATTCCAAAGAGTGGGAGCCACAACGGAAAAGGTTCTTGTCCTGGGCCCCGCCAGCTGAAATCCTTTGGCAGACAAAATCTAAAGTATGTCTCTTCTGCTGACGTGAGCTGGGCAGGCTGGTTCCATTGGGGTGACATGGCTCCCGAAATACCTTGAACTCACTGCCATAAAGAGCTTTGAAGATAATAGCCGACATCTTGAATTGGACCCGGAAGCAAACCGGCAACCAGTTCAACTCACACAACAGAGGTGTGTTACGTGTGACTGCCACGGGGCCTCCAGGACTGTCTTGCACCTCTGCGCACTCTACTTCCTATATCTAACTGGAACTGTGTGTTTGTCAAGGGAAGTTGGGTAGCAACTAGATTACTAGCTCAGCAGGTATTAAAGCAGATGTGGTATCAAGATAGTCATATTCAGAAGAATAATCTTGATTGCAGCACTTAAAAAGAGTATGTTGCTATTTGATATAGCAATAGCAATAGCGCTTAGACTTATATACCACTTCACAGTGCTTTACAGCCCTCTCTAAGTGGTTTACAGTGTCAGCCTCTTGTCCCCAACAATCTAGGTCCTCATTTTACCCACCTCGGAAGGACAGAATGCTGAGTCAACCTTGAGCCGGTGAGACCCGAACTGCCAAACTGCTGGCAGCCGGTGATCAGCAGAAGTGGCCTGCAGTACTGCATTCTAACCACTGCGCCACCACGGCTCTTAATATAATATAAATTTAATATAAATCTGTCTTTCTGGAAAGTGATCAACCTATTGGCTGGAATATTTGCCCCCTTCAGCCAATCTGGGTGATGATGGTTTTTAAAAAAACAGTTCTTCAGTCAAAATCTAGGAAGCAGAAGCAAGTCATTTAGGAGCCGAGGCACCCTATAAATTAAATCATAAATCATAGCGTTTAAGTGTCAGTAGTTTCAGCTCTCCGTCTGTTGTGACAACAGAGGCAGCACAGAAGTAGCTTTTTGCAACTGCAGGCAAAGGAAGGTACCTTATGCTCTCTGTTAAGTGCACAACTGTATTTTCTGCTTTTTTAATTTATTTGCATATGATCCAGTAAGCAAAAGTTCTCCAGGTAGATTATTATAACTCTCTTGGCCTGGCTTCTGAAGAGCTGTTCTGGTAATTAACTGAGTATCTATCCAGACAGGGAAAACCTCTTTCAAATTCCGCCTTAGTGTTCCTGCTGGCTTGCCATAAATTTCTCACATAGGTGTGTACCCACAGACACCTGGATATCGAAGGAGCCACTGGGATTGGCAGGTGTGTTTTTTGCAAGATGGGCACTGACCCACCTCTGTTGCGATTGCTTGCAGCCTGAACGTTTACAAGGCACTCACTATTCCGTTCAGTCGGACATCTGGAGCATGGGTCTCTCCCTGGTGGAGCTGTCAATCGGACGGTATCCCATCCCCCCGCCCGATGGCAAGGAACTGGAAGTGATCTTTGGTCGTCCCATAGTCGATGGGGCCGAAGGGGAACCCCACAGCATCTCTCCACGGCCCAGGCCCCCAGGACGTCCTGTTAGTGGTAAGAGTTCGTTCCTGGGACGTTGCTGCCAATTTTTTTTTTTTTTTAATTTGATTTATATGCCGCCCTTCTCCGGAGACTCAGGGCGGTTTACAGTGCGTTAAGCAATAGCCTTCATACTTTTGTATATTTATAGAAAGTCATCTTATTGCCCTCACAAACTGGGTCCTCATTTTACCCACCTTAGAAAGGATGGAAGGCTGAGTCAACCTTGAGCCTGGTGAGATTCGAACTTACAGTAATTGCAGGCAGCTGGTGTTAATCACAATGCTATCAGTCTGCTGAGCCACCAGGCCCAGTGATATAATTGAAATTATATCACTGTTGTTGTTTTTATTAAATGTCGGAAGGAAGCATAATCGTTTGTAGCTGGACTGTGGTTAATTATTCTAGCATTTTCCAAAGAGTGTTGATCCACTGGTTATGAAAGGAATTGACCAACCAACTTGACATGGGAGAGATTGACAGGCCGCCCAAAGTTACCCAGCTGGCTTTCAAAGTTACCCAGCTGGCTTTCTATTCACATAAAGTGTGAATAGAACTCACAGGCTTGTGATGATTGGCCCAAAGTCACCCAGCTAGCTTTCATGGCTAAGTGTCAGTACCAGCAGAATTAAACTCATGCCTATGCACATTTCAATAAATACTCGTAGCTATTCAACTATAGAAATTTAGTTTTAAAAATAATCAGTTACAGGTGGCCCTCAACTTACAACCACAATTGAGCCCAAAATTCCCATTGCTAAGTGAGACAGTTAAGTGAGTTTTCCTCCATTTTAATGATCTTTCTTGCCAGAGTGGTTAAGTGAATCCCTGCAGTTGTTAAGTTAAGATTGTTGTTAAGTGAACCCAGCTTCCCTATTAAGTTTGCTTGTCAGAAGGACGCAAAAGAGGATCATGTGACCCCCGGGACACTGCAACCGTCCTAAGTACATGCCAGTTGCCAAGCATTTTGATCATGTGGCCATGGCGATGCTGCAACTGTCATAAAGCATGAAAAACAGTTTCAGTCACTTTTTCAGCGCCGTTCTTCAACTTCAAACAGTCATTAAACAGATGGTTGTAAGTCAAGGACTACCTACTGTATACAAGTACTCCTCAATTTACAACAGTTCATTTATTGACCGTTTGAAATTACAACGAGATGGAAAAAAAGGGACTTATAACCATTTTTTCACACTTATGACCGTTGCAGCATCCCCCTGGTCACGTGATTTACATTTGGATGCTGGACAGCTGACTCACATTTATGACGGTTGCAGAGTCCCTGGGTTATGCAATCTCCTTTTGCAACCTTTTGACAAGCAGAGTCAATGGGGAAGTCAGTTTCACTTAACAACAGTGTTACTAGTTTAAGAACTGCGGTGATTCACTTAATAACATAAAGTTTGGGCTCAATTGTGGTCATAAATTGAGGATTACCTGAATTTATGATTTTACTGATTCTTTACATGGTTTTTTAACTCTCCTCGGCTTACCAGTTTGCTTTAAATATGCTTTGAAATGAGACAAGCTGCCTGGGAAACCTGCAGTCAGTTTCTTTTCAAGGCAGCTCAGCCATCCTTCTTGATATGATGCCCTCCAGATACGTTGGACTGCAGCTAAGCTATGCCTAGCTGGCATAAGTGGTGCTGACTGGCAGTGCTAAAGTTGAACATGGCACGTACTGAGGCAAATAGGTTGGGGGCGGGATGTTGCAGCAAGATGTTGCTTGTCAACGTGGTGAAGATTGGGAGAATGAAAGGACGTGGTTTTCAAGCCCCAAAGATCCACAAACTCAGGGAATCAGAGGATAAAAATATCCAGTATCCAGAAGGGAAAGAAGGAGACTTCTCGATGGCACTTAGCCAGTTTCACTCATGTTTTTTCCCCATAGATAAAGAGGTTCAGGCCTATACAGCTTATCTAGTGATGAAGGCACCAGGCTAAAAACCAGGGGATGGTGAATTCTAGTCCCACCTTATGCATGAAAGCTGGTTGGGTTACTTTGAGCCAATCTCCAGGAGACAGTGAGTTCTAGTTCTGACTTGGCTGGGTGTCTTTGGGCCTATCACCAGGAGACAGTGAATTCTAATCCCGCCAGGTACAAAAGCTGGCTGGGTGATTTTGGGCCAGTCTCCAGGAGACTGGGAGTTCTAGTCCCACCTTAGTCATGAAAGCCGGTTGGGTTACTTTGAGCCAATCTCCAGGAGACTGGGAGTTCTAGTCCCACCTTAGTCATGAAAGCTGGTTGGGTGACTTTGGGCCAATCACCAGGAGACTGGGAGTTCTAGTCCTGCCTTAGGCAAGAAAGCCAGCTGCATGACTTTTTGAGCCAGTCACCTCTCTCTCTCTCTCTCTCTCTCAGCCCAACTCTCCTCACAGAGTCTTTGTTGTGGGGGACATAGGAAGAGGTAGGAGTATTAGGAATGTTCACAGCTTTTGAGTTATTCATAAAAAATAAGAACAGTGGAATAAATAAATAAAAACAAAACAAAAAAGGGAATATTGTGGGTCTCATTAAACTTAACTTTGTTCTTATTATCCTACCTTTTAGGTGAAAAGTCACCAGGTGAGGTCATTATTTAAGACTAATAAGGTGGATCACAGACAGGTTGGGCTGTTTCAGCCCAGCCTTCTGCCCTATGTCTCCCCTAACCTCTCATATGAACACCTAGGACTGGGTAGAAGCTGGGACTGACTGCAAATCGTCCTTGACTTACAACAATTCGTTTAGTGGCCATTCAAATGTTACAACGGCACTGAAAAATGTGACTGAGCACCGTTTTTCAAAGTTACGACCATTGCAGCATCCTCACAATCATACGGTCAAAATTCGGACGCTTGGCAACTGGTTCATACTTAACGACCGTTGCTGTGTCCCAAGGTCACGTGATCCCCTTTTGCGACCTTCCGACAAGCCAAGTCAGTGGGGAAGCCAGATTCGCTTACCAACCAGGCTACTGACTTATCAACTGCGGTGATTCACTTAACCACTCTGGCAAGAAAGGTCGTAAAATGGGGCAAAACCCGCTTAGCAAATGTCTCACTTAACGACAGAAATGTCGGGCTCTGTTGTCGTAAGTCGAGGACTGCCTGTCTCTCAGAAGCCCGTTGCTGCTGCTTTGTGCATACCTTTAGGTTCCAAAGGCCAACCGACCAGGCTACCGGTTGGTGTTTGGATCCTGCTCTCCTTAAATATTAAACCATAAATATGGTTTCTTGAAGATGGGCACGCTTCTTGGCGTGTTCTTCACAGGCAGTTTTTCATCCCACCTTTGCTCTTTTGAACCCTGCAGGTCATGGGATGGACAGCCGCCCTGCCATGGCCATTTTTGAATTGCTTGACTACATTGTGAATGAGGTGAGTGGCCGAAAGAAGACATTTTGACTCTCTACTGTGGGCTGGCCGTTTGCTTTCGTGCCTTTAAATCAGGTCCCTGGAGGCGGGGGATTAAAACGGTATGGTGGGCGGATTAAACACCTGGTGGAATATCTGGCTTTTCGTGTTTCGTGGCCAGGTGCCCTTGCTGGTCAGCCTGCTCTGCGTTGCGAGCCTTCTCTTCCCTTCTCTGTCAATATCTATTTATTAAATAAAAGCTCCCGACCAGTTGAAGCTTTGTCTGTTATGTTGAATTTTTATGTTTTACCGACAAAGAAATAAAGGGAGACTAGTATAGATCTATTTCAAACTATTTAGCTCTCATTAGCTAGCCATACCCTTTCTGGGATTCGAACCCGGGCTACTTGCATATTAGATAGACGTATTAACCTCTAAGCCACAGACTCTGTTTGTCGGCTATGCCAGGGGAAAGATTAAGTGTTTTTGTCAGGGCAAACCTGGTCTACCCAGTTATGGGATGGAGCATACTGCTTCGGAAGCAGTATGGCTTAGAGGTTAATACATCTACGTAATATACAACTAGCCCGGGTTCGAATTCCAGAAAGGGTATGGCTAGCTAACAAGAGCTTGAAATAGATCTATACTAGTCTCCCTTTATTTCTTTGTCGGTAACACTTAAAAATTCAACACAAAAGTAATTTGTCGCAAAAGCGACTGCCTGCAAAGGCTCCTGGATTGGGGCGGAAAGGTGAAAACGGAAGCAGTGTGCTCCGTCCCATAATTGGGTAGACCAGGTTGCCCTGACAAAAAACACTTTGTCTGTTATACCACTTCATTGAATCCACAGGTTAGAAGCCTCTAATCCTGGGGTCTCCAAAGCCTGGGCTGTGTCCCACTACTGGGCCGCAGCCTGTTCAGAACCGAGCCACACAAGCAGCGGGCAACTACATACGCATGGACAGCTCTGTTTACATGACCAGCAAGCGCTTGTGAACGCAGCTCCATTTACTCAAGCGGCAGGCGCTCACGTGCGAGGCTCCATTTGTGCGAGTCGCACGTGCACACTTTGTGTAAATGGAGTCCAGCCACTCGCATGGAACCATCCCCTCTCCTCCAGCTGGAAAGATTGGGGACCACTGGTGTAATCTGTCCTCCACCACAGTGTCGTTCACGTCTGATTGCATGTAAAAATAAGGTGCTGCCAATAAAATGGGAACAGCGCCATCCCATGCGTGTACGTTTTCAGCCTCAGTGAAAATACAGAGAAAGGAAGAATGAATGAAGATGAGCTGAGCCTTTCTGTCTACGTTCTTGCCTTTTAAAATGAAAGAGAAGGAAAACCAGGAAATTTCTCTTGTGGACCAACGAGAGAGAAAAAGGGAGGGTCACACAGATGAAGGATTCTGTTTGGGCTTTGCGCAGAAAAAAACAAAGAATGAAGAGGGTGCAGACGGAAATAAATACATCGGAAGTAAGAAAGCAACACGACTGAGTCCCTGGAAACTGTGTGGCTCCCTCGGGACTATTTCCATTCTGCACAGAGAGCAAGAATGGCCCACCCACCCCTGATCCCATTCTGTGGAGAGGCCACTTCGGGGAAAAGGACTTTGCTACTAAGTTATTAATATGCCAAGTTCTTTGGGGTCTTGAATGATGAACTAATGAGGAGAGTTGTCAGATTCAGGAGAGCAAGGGGACTTCAGAGCCAAGGCCCCGAACCATGCTGAGTTTTCTCCATCCCTATCATTTGTGGCCTTTCTTCTTGACCAGTGAGGATTAGGAGCTTTTATCCAAATAGAAGAGGTTATTTGTAGCTTAGGGTTGAGCTGTGAGGGTCCTTGGTGCTCTCTGAGCTTGGTTCTTTTCTTGCAGATGTTTTATAACCCAACTAGGTAACATCATCAGTTTTCATACCTTAATGTTTACTCCCTGCCAAGGCTTGATGATGTTAGAATCAACAAAGGATCCGTTTATTTGAATTGCATCCTTCTACATAAATGTGTTCGAATCTCTCCAAACCTACAGAAAGACTTCAATTTACGACCATAATGGAGCCTGTCTGTTACAGTTCTGAGTCATGGTGGTTTTAAAGGGTCTACCCCCTGTGACTGACTTGAATTGATGACCTTTTTTGCAGTGGTTGTTAAGCAAATGCCACTGTCATTAAGTCAACCCATTGGCTGAAGGCTGTTTTCCTAAACTGATGTGCTCACCTTACCTTAAATTTTTTCCCCCTGTGTATTTCAGCCACCTCCAAAACTGCCGGCCGGAGTTTTCACCCAAGAATTCCAGGAGTTTGTAAATAAATGGTAAGATGTCTCGCACTTATCGGTGGGAAATATAAAACCTTGGGATTAGGGGCCCAGGAGTTTGTGTGAATGCATTTCCTGGAAACATGCTGGCTCAGGATGAGGGATTTTCCCCTTTGGGTGCGAGGCCTACAAATGGGGACTTTAAGCATCATTGTTTGGTTTGGTGGCAGCAGTGACTCGGATAGAAAGTCCATACAGTGAGTGGTGAGGAAAGTGGAGAAGATCATAGCAAACTCATTTCCTGTTATTCAGGATGCTGCTTATAAGCGCTATGTGCTTAGAGCTTGAAGCCTTGTTAGAGACCCCACACACCCACTTTACGTCTGTTTCTGTTGCTTCCCTCTGGGAGGAGGTTCCGAAGTACTTCTTGCGGGACTGTCAAATTCTGGAACAGCTTTGTTCCCTGATGACATCCGTCTGGTAAATTCGCAAGATTGGTTTTTCTTGCCATGTACATGTATACATCCGACCTAGACTATTTGGTTCCTCTGGGTCATAGAATGTGTGTGGGCATATGCATATTTTTTTATTTATTTATTTTATCATGTTTATGTAGTGTATATTGGAAGTGGTGACCCTTTGAGAGCTGTATGCAACAAATTTTCATTTTTAATGTATGTCGATTAATGTACATTAAGGTCAGAGGTGGGCAAATGTGGCTTGGCTGTCTCAGGAATTCTGGGAATTGAAGTCCACAGGTTGTAAAAGAGCCACATTTGCCCGCCCCTGGTCTAGGTCTAAGTGCCAGGGCTCCTTGGTAGCGACAGATTATTTTCATCAGAAAATTAGAAAAAGTAACTTCTGAATGCAATTCGGCAAAGCTGTTGGTTCCTCTCTTTCCTTCAGGATGAGGCTTCTCGGTACAGGTAGTCCTCGAGTTAAAACCACAACGGAGCCCCACATTGTTGTTGCTAAGTGAGACATCTATTAAGTGAATTTTGCTCCAATATACGATCTTTCTTGCCACAGTTGTTAAATGAATCGCTGCCATTGTTAAGTTAGTGACATGGCGGTTAAGTGAATCTGGCTTCCCCGTTGACGTTGCTTATTAGAAAGTCACACGTCCCTCCCCTCCGGGGACACTGCAGCTGTCATAAATTTGAGTCGTGTGCCAAGCGTCTGAATTTTGATCACGTGACCACGGGGGGATGCTGCAACGGTTGTAAGTGTGAAAAACGGTCGTAAGTCACTTCTTACAGTCCATTGTAACTTCAAACGGTCACTGAATGAACTTTGAATTAGAGAATTACAATTTTGTTGTAAGTCCAACAAAACTTAATAACTATAACTTAATAACTATAACTTTAGGGGAGTCACATACAGGTAGTCCTTGAATTACGACCACAATGGAGCCCAGAATTCATGTTGCTAAATGGGAAATTTATGAAGTGAGTTTTGCCCCATGTTATGACTCTTTTCTTGCCACGTTTTTTAAGGGAATCGCTGCCGTTGTTAAATTAGTAACACAGTTGTTAAGGGAATCTGGCTTCCCCGTTGACTTTGCTGGTCAGAAGTGTGAAAAAAAACGACCATAATGTCACTTTTTTCAGTGGCGTCGTGACTCTGAACAGTCGCTAAAGGAACTGTTGTAAGTCGAGGACTAGCTCTGCTCTTGGTGTGATTTTGTTTATGACGGAGCCACGTGGATGGACTTGGGTCAGGACAGCTGAGGAGAGCTTTGCACATCTGGCATCCCCCAAACACTGGAGCTGGGTCCCCCAAGGAATATATGCATGCTCATTTTGCAGTGATCATAACTGACTAATCTTTTTTTCTTTTTCTTTCCCCCAGCTTAATTAAAAACCCTGCTGAACGGGCAGATCTAAAGATGCTGATGGTAAGAATTGTCGAGTTGTGTGCTTTGTGTGCTCAAGCACCGAATTTCCTTCACTAAGGAGATCCAAATCCTTGCTCAGTTCCCAGGCATATTGGTCCCTCTCCGTTTCTCTTACTGTTAACTCCCCTCTGAGCATGGAAGTGTGCGTTCCACTGGTGTGTTCTTTGAGGAATTGCAGCCCTGCCCTCCACCTGGGGGTACGGTGACAAGTGCGAAAAGTCCTGAGAATCACACAATGATTGTGTAGATTGTCCAGGGAAAAGCCTTGAATTGGGTAGAATATACTTTTCTTCCAGACTCCATTTGTGGCAGAGGTGGTCTCAAGCTGACGAGCTACAGGGTCCTCCCACACCCCCAGTAGATGGAGTCCTTGCACATCCCTTTTCATTTAATGAAAAGAAGGATTAGGGGGTGACATGATAACAGTGTTTTAATATCTCAGGGGTTGCCACAAAGAGGAGAGGGTCCACCTGTTCTCCAAAGCACCGGAGGGCAGGACAAGAAGCAACAGGTGGAAACTAATCAAGGAGAGAAGCAACCTGGAATTGAGGAGAAATTTATTGGCAGTTAGAACAATTAATCAGTGGAACAACTTGCCTCCAGAGATTGTGGTGCTCCATCACTGGAGGTTTTTAAGAAAAGATTGCACAGTCACTTGTCTGAAATGGTATAGGTCCGTGATGGCAAACCTATGGTGGCATGCATAGCCATATCAGTGAGCACGTGAGCTCAGCTCTGATGCGCGCCAGCTGATTTTCGGGCCTTCTGGGCCCACCAGAAGTAGGGAAAAAGGTGGTTTCCTGCCTCCGGAGGGCCTCAAGGGGTGGGAGGGGTGGGGAAGGCCTGTTTTTCTCTCTCACCTGGTTCCAGAGCCTTTCTAGGAGTCTGGGGAGGGTGAAAAGGGCCCCTCCCCCAGATGCTCTCCAGAGGCCAGAAGCAGCCCATTTAACAACTTCTGGTGGGACCGGAAGGCCCGTTTTTTGCTGTCCCCACCCTCAAGAGCCTCTCTAGGAGTCTGGGGAGGGTGAAAATGACCTTCCCCACCCCCAGACCCCCGGAGGTCCTCCGGAAGCCGAAAACGGCCTGTTTGCCAACTTCCGGTCCCACTGGAAGTTGGCAAACGAGCCATTTCTGGCCTCTGGAGGGCCTCCCGGGGTGGGGGTGGGAGGCCATTTTTGCCCTTCCCAGACTCCTTTAGAGGCTCTGGAGCCAGGTGAGAGAGAAAAACGGGCCTACCGGGCCATTGTGTGCCAGGAGCGGGCAGGGTGGGGTCCCACGCACATGTGCGGCGGCGGGACGCATAGAATTATAGGTGTGGGCACACGCATGACTCCACCCTCCTGGCACTCAATGGCAAAAAGGTTAGCCATCCCTGGTATAGGGTCTCCTGCTTGAGCAGGGGGTTGGACTAGAAGACCTCCAAAGTCCCTTCCAATTCTGTTATTCTGGTATCCTCAGTGGCTGGGATGTTCCCATACCACCAGTGGTCAGGATCTTCTCCCACCCCCAGTAGCCAGGATCCTCCCACGCCACCAATTAACTGTGCCAGACTTACATCATCCATTCATAGCCCTTTGCGCTGATGGCTCCCAGTCTCTTCTTCTGACTGAGCACGACGTTTTTCTTCCTTCCCAGTTTGTTAGTTAGTTCTAAAAAATGAATTTAAAGTCTTTTTTTCCCCTTCGGTTGTTTTGTTTGTTTGTTTCAATTGGCTGACAGAAAAGGCCGACTCTGCTGTTTTTAAAATTATCCCAAACTGTTTAAGACCTCAGAAATGTAACTTCTTCTGAACTCCCCCTTGCCCAAAACACAAATTAGTGTTCAATTTGTGTTTTGACTTCAGGAAGAAGGGAAAATCCATTGGGAAACAGGGAATGAGTTTCTGTATCCATGTTTCTCCTCCTCCTCCTCGGCATTTTAAGTTGTGTGGACTTCAACTCCCAGAATTGGGGAAGATGTGTGGACTTCAAGTCCCATTTTAAGATGTGTGGACTTCAACTCCCAGAATTCCTCAGCCAGCCATGCTGGCTGAGGAATTCTGGGAGTTGAAGTCCACATATCTTAATAACTGCCCAGGCTGAAAAATACAGCTTTTGATAGAAACAGAAAGTGGGCTCTGCATTGGACTCGTCTGTCTGCTTATCTCCAAACAGGAGAATTGTATCCAGCTCTGCGCTGGTGAGATAATCCCCCCGTTTTTTCCCCACTTGCATTTCTTACTCCCAATATCGTCCAGAGAGCGCAAAGTCATGAATAAGCACATGTGACACAAATGTGATGTGAAACAGCAGGGTGGGTTTGACTTCCTTCTAAAGCCATGTGTGCATTGAAGGAGGGGTCTGCTATCTACGAGGAACAGAAATTTGACAGAGGCCTTCAGGACGGGGCTTTCCGCTCCCAGCCAACCCCTCCGTCAACAAATGAGAACCAAATTAATGACAGTGGGGAAAATAACAACCTGGGGCAGGAATCCACCCTAAATTAAAATACAGGCAATCCCCGACTTAAGACCACCAATTGAGCCCAAAATTTCTGCTGTTAAGTGAGACTTCGGTTAAGCGAGTTTGGCCCCGTTTTTACAACCTTTCTTGCCCACCGTTGTTAAGCGAATCGCCACCGTTGATAAATGAGTAACCCGGTTGTTAAGTGAATCTGGCTTCCGCCCTTGACTTTGCTTCTCAGAAGGTCGCAAAAGGGGATTCCGTGACCTTGGGACGCAGCAACGGTCATAAGTTTGAACCGGTTGCCAAGCGCCTTGAATTCTAATCACATAATCAAAGGTCGTAACTCTGAAAAACAGCTGCAAGTCATTTTTTTTCAGTGCCGTTATAAATTCGAACGGTCACTAAACAAACGGTCGTAAGCCAAGGACTGCCTATACATTCAAGATGTGTCAATGTATGTGCGTGGAATTTTAATTTTTTTCTTTAAATTCAAATGTCCATCTTTTATTCTTGAAGGCTTCCCCATTATTATTATTTGCAAATAGGGGAAATTAAAATTTGCCTTTTGGTACTTAATACTGTTTTGCATTAAGGTCAAAGAGCCCCGTGTCTCTTTAAATGCGGACGAGCTGCAGTTTTCAGCATTCCTTCCCGCTGCCTATGCTAAATGTTGCTGTTGTGCTCCTCACCAGTTTTGCAGAGCCACAATCTAGACAGGGCTCCCCCAAAACTTACAGATATTCCTCAATTTACGAATTGGGACCAACATTTCAATTGCTAAGCATGGTGGATAGAATAGAAATAGGAATAGGAATGGAATTAAGAATAAGAATTGAAATTAGAATTATTTAGAATAGGAGGAACCTTGGAGGTCTTCTAGTCCAGCCCCCTGCTTAGGCAGGCAACCCTACACCACTTTGGTTGGATAACAAATGGTTGTCCAACCTCTTCTTTAAAACTTCCAGTGTTGGACCATTCACAACTTCTGGAGGCAAGTTGTTCCACTGATTAATTGTTCTCACTGTCAGGAAATTCCTACTTAGTTCTATGTTGCTTCTCTCCTCGATTAGTTTCCATCCATTATTTTTTCTCTTGCCTTCAGGTGCTTTGGAGAATAGCTTGACTCCCTCTTCTTTGGGGCAGCCCCTGAGATACTGGAAGACTCCTATCATGTCTCCCCTAGTCCTTCTTTTCATCAGACTAGACACACCCAGTTCCTGCAACCGTTCTTCATATGTTTTATGAAGAGACTGGGCAGCCATTTGTCGGGGATGGAATAAAGACTCCTGCCTGAGCAGGGAGTTGGACTAGAAGACCTCCAAGGTCCCTTCCAACTCAGTTATTCCAAATTCCCTGCTCAAGGCGACCTCTGGCAGGGCCCTGGAGGCTGCTTGGCAGGAAGCCCCAAGGAGCAGCTGCTGCTCAGCCATTTCCTTACCTTTCACTATATCCGAAAAAGTCACAGAGTGGCAGCCCCTCAAATACTGGAAGACTGCTATCCTGTCTCCCCTGGTCCTTCTTTTCATTAAACTAGACATCCCCAATTCCAGCAACCGTTCTTCATATGTTTTAGCCTCCAGTCCCCTGATCCTCTTTGTTGCTCTTCTCTGCACTTATTAAATGAGTGGCTGCTGATTTTACAACCTTTTTTGCACGTGTCTACGGAGATTATCCGTCATCCAGTTCTCACGGTTGTCGCAAAGGTGCCCTTTCCAAAAGACCCAACTGGCCTTTTTTGGTTTGTGACTTTGAAAATGTTTCGCTTCTCATCCAAGAAGCTTTTTTCTTCTTCAGTTCTGAAGAAACTTCTTGGATGAGAAGCGAAATTTTTTCAGAGAGGGAAAAAAAAAATCAATGAAACTTAAGTTGTCTATTGGGAAAAAGCACCTTGGGGACTTTTTTTTTTTTTTTTGCCACCGTGGTTAAGAAATTCAGTGCCGTTATTAAGTGAATCACATGGGGGTTAAAGCGAATCCAGATTGTCCCATTGTCGGACGACAGCTGGGAAGGTCACAAATGGCCATCACCCGGTCCTGGGAGGCTGCACCTTATGTAATACACACACGCACGCGCACACACACACACACACACACACACACACACACACACACACGGTTTGCCATGCCTCTGAATTTTGTTAATGTGCTGTGATGGTCATAAGTGCAAGGACTGTCCGTACATTGCTTTTTTTGTAATTTCAGACGGTTGGTTGTAAATTGAGGATAACCTGTACTGCGACGGATATTCTTCGTGTCCTTTTTCAAAAGCCCCATACCCAGCAGTCTCCAGTCGTGGCCCCTTTAAGACTTGTGGACTTCCAACTCCCAGAGCTGGCTGGGGAATTCTGGGAGTTGAAGTCCACAAATCTTAAAAGAGGCCACGCTTGGATACCTCTATCCCACACCTTTCACAAAAAGGCTCGGACAGGGAAATTCAACCCCTGTGGCTTCCGTTTGACCCCTGACCCTTGTTTTCCCCGCCCTCTGCAAGGCCACCACTTCCTGTCCGTACGTCCGACGATGTCGTCTCTGGTTCTAACCCCTTCTTCTTTTTTTTTTTTTTTTTCTTTCTCCCATCTGCTTTCCAGAATCACACCTTCATCAAGTGCGCCGAGGTGGAAGTGGTGGATTTTGCCGGCTGGCTATGCAAGACGCTGCGGTTGAAGCAGCCCAGCACCCCCACCCGCACGGCCATGTGACCGCCACGCCAGCTGCCTTGTTCTTCCTCCTCCTCCCTCCCTCCCTCCCTCCCTCTCTCGTGCACCTGCTTGTCTGCTGCTGTTCGCTGCCCTCCCGGCAGAAGGAAGAAGCCCCTTGCCTCGCCTCCCTCAGTCTTTGCACCCGGAACAAGCCAGGCAGGAGAGTTGTCAAGAAAGAGATTGTCCCTCTCTTTCTCTCTCTCTCTCTCTCTCTCTCTCTCTTGCGGCCCCGAGAGCAGAAAGGAGCCTCGGCTTCTCCCTCCTGTGACTGTTCTCGGGTTTGGTTTGGTTTCTCTTCCTGCGGTGGGAGAATCCCTCGCTCTCTGCAAGCTCTCGGGTTTGGGTGGGTAGGGCTGGCCGAGATGGGCCTGGCTGCTGATTGGTTTCGAGAAGAGAGGAAAGAGTTTCCAGGATAGGCTGGCTGTATCTGTCTCTTTTCCTTCCTTCCTTCCTTCCTTCCTTCCTTCCTTCCTTCCTTCCTTCCTTCTCCTCTTCTCTCCTCTCCTCTCCTCTCTATCTCTTTTTGTCTCTCCCTTCCTCTCTCTTTTCTTCTTTTCCTCTTCTTCTCTCTAGCTTCCTCTCTGTCTCACTTTCTCTTTCTTTTTGGACGACCATTTATCCAAAATAGTATAGGGTTTCCTGCTAGAGCAGAGGGTTGGACTAAGACCTCCAAGTATCCTTCCAACTCTGTTATTTTGGTTTTTATCTATCTATCTATCTATCTATCTATCTATCTATCTATCTATCTTATCTATCTACCTACCTACCTACCTACCTACCTACCTACCTATCTTTTTCTCTTTCCCTCTCATCCTTCCTTCCTTTCCTTCCTTCCCATTTCTGTCTCTTTCTTTCTCTCCCTCCCTCTTTCTGTCTCCCTCCCCCTCTCTCCCTTTCTCCCTCTCCTTTTCTGTAGGTGAATCTAAGGGTGGGCATTTGCTGATGGGCAGAGATCTCACTGTCTGGGGCAGCCAGGGCAAAGCAGGCAGTTTAGCCAATCAGATGGCTTTGTGGTTGCCTCTTGGACCCCTGGCCCAGGAAGCGGAAGGGCCCCTGTTGACTTCCTGGAAGCTGTTTGGGAGCAGATAGTGAAAAAAACGGCCCGATTAAGGAAATGCGTCTCTGGCCAAGCTCTCGACTCCTTCCTGTGACCCTCCTCTCTTCTGCTCCGCTTGCCTGCCTGCCTGCCTTTGGTTTTGTTCTGGGACCTTCCTTTGAAGGGGAGTGGGCAGGAATTGGGGCCTGGGGGTGAAGAGGCAGGCAGGAGGTGTCCTCGCTCTGCCTTCAGACTTGGCACACTTGAAGGACCTTCTCCGTCCAAGGCTTCGGTGACATGACGAGTCTGAAGCCATTACAGCATGCTGGATTTTGGCAGTGGGGGGGGATGCCCTCGGAGGATAGCTTGAGGTCGCGGTGGGCAGAAAAGCTGTTGGGTCGTGGTTTTGTGATGGTTGTAAGTGCGAGGACCGGTTGTCCATCCCTTTTTTTTTTCAGGGCCTTGAACGCCAGCAGCGCCTCTGGCCTTGGCCGTCCCTTCTCCCCTCCCGTGTTTTGCTGCTTGGATACAGCCAGGCATCGCTCTGGTTTCCCCCTTAAGGCTCGCCCGGCTTCTTCTGTTTTCCTTTCTTTGGGCTCGGCTGCTTCTGCACCGCTGTCCCAGGAGGCTGCGGTGTCATCATAGCAGTTGGGCTGCACACCTGGGGCTCTTCTGGGTGGGGCTGCTGCCCTCAGCCTCCTTGGCTCTGGGGAGAGGCAGCCACTGCGGAGGAGGAGGAGGAGGAGGACTAAAAGTTTCATTGGCTGGGCCAGGTTTTCAGCCCCCTTGCCTCCCTCCCTCCCTCCCTCCCATCCATCCTATTTATCTTTTTCTTTCTCCTTCCTTCCATTTCCTTCCTCTCCCTCTCTGCCATCTGTTTATCCTTCCTGTCTTTCCTTCTTTCTCCCTACTTCCATCTCCCTTCCTTCCTTCCTTCCTGTTTATCCCTTTCTTCCCATTTCTTCCCATTTCCTTTCTTCCTCCCTCCCTTCTCATCTATTCCTCCTCCCTTCCTCCCTCCCTTCTCTCCCTCTCCTTTCCCTTTCCCTTTTTCTTTTTCTGTCTCTTCCCCTTCTTAAAATTTCCCCGTGGGCTAAAGGCACGCTTTGATTGCCAACACGGACTTGTTGGTTCCCAAAAAACCGGTTACAGTCCTGCAGGACCAAGAACAGGGTGATGTTATTACTGGAGGGGAATGATAAATGTCCCAAATCAGCCCGTTGCCTCCTTGAAGGGTTGTAGCCTTTTACCTCGCCCCTCCCTCCACGGCCCCTTGGAAGTGAATCTCCTCTCCTTGATCCATCGATCACTCGGCCTCCATTCGGGAGGAGATCTCAGCAAGGGCCTCGGCCAGACAGAGCTGTCCTCTGTGGCCTATTGATCTGCTGGCTGGCTAACCAGGAGCCCTGACGCTTGCAAAGAGTTTGCACCTCGGATACTCGAGCCCACTGTTTGCTGAAGCCATCTTATCTCAGTTGCCCTTAGAGCAACCTCGCCCAACTTCATTTACTGCCATCCTAAAGTGGCAGCCCCAAGCCCAGAGGTGCCAGGGTAAATTCTCCAAGCTCCCTGGAGCAAGGAAGTCAACAATGAAAGCGGTCTAATTAGCGGCTTTGTCCAGTCGGACGCCATTCGGCTGTCCGTACTTTCCGGCTCCCACAGACTCGCACCCAAGTCTTACAGAAGACCACTGAATATCCAAGCTCTTTTCTTTTTTCAAATTCGTAGCAAAATGGACGCATTCTCCTCTCGCAAGACTTTCCTATTAGTCCCCATGAATACGGCTGGCACCTGTAGAAGTGTAGCTGGGTCCTACAACTGTAGTTGGGTAGTAGGATTGGAAGGGACCTCGGAGGTCTTCTAGTCCAATCCCCTGCTCAAGGCAAGAGACCCTATACCCGTGATGGCGAACCTATACGCGGAGCCATATTAGTGGGCATGCCAGCTCAGCTCTGGGGTGCATGCGCGTGCTGGACAGCTGATTTTTGGGCCTTCTGGGCCCACCAGAAGTAGGGAAACAGGCTGTTTCCTGTCTCTGGGGGGGTGGGGAAGGCCCATTTTTCTTTCTTACCTGGCTCCAGATCCTTTCTATGGATCTGGGAAGGGCGAAAACAGCCTTTCCCACTCCCACGGAGGCCCTACGGAGGCTGAAAGGGCCCATTTCCCAACTCCCGGTGGGACAGGAAGTGACTTTTTTTCTGTCCCTAGCCTCCAGAGACTCCTAGAGAGGCTCCTACAGACTCCTAGAGAGGTTCTGGAGGGCTGGGGACAGCAAAAAACGTCACTTCCTGTCCCACCGAGAGTTGGGAAATGGGCCCTTTCAGCCTCCGTAGGGCCTCCAAGGGAGTGGGAAAGGCTGTTTTCACCCTTCCCAGATCCATAGAAAGGATCTGGAATCAGGTAAGAAAGAAAAATGGGCCTACCAGGCCATCGTGTCAGGAGCGGGGGTGGGTGGGGTTATGTGCGCATGCGCGTGGGCACGTGCATGCGCGACCCTCCCCCCGCCCCCCCTCTCCTGGCACGCAATGGCAAAAAGGTTAGCCATCACTGCCCTATACCATCCTGGTCAGATGGTTGTCCGGTCTTTTTTTGTTTTTGTTTTAAACCTCCAGTGATGGAGCACCCACAACTCTGGGAAGTCAAATTTGTAGGATCTGCTTGCGTTAGCCTCCTTGTTCAAGCTACGTCTTTTTTCTCTCTCTCTCTCTTTTAATGACCCTGTAATCCCTTGCAATTGGGGTGGAGTCGGGGCAACTGAATGGAGCTGAGTGTTTACTGGCCGGATGCCTTTCCTGTCGCCATTGCGGAGTTCGCAGCAGATCGTTTTTTCATTGTCTTGCTCTCAGGAAATTCAAAGGCGAGGAAGGATTTTTAATTGGTTGTCGCTCAGGTTGCAGCCTTTTCTGATGGAGTCTGCGGCCTTCCTTTTTTGGGGGTGGGGGAAGAGGGAGAGGACTTCTCAGGGATGTCTTCTGATGGAGAAGAAATGCTGGACCGCTGCTTCTCTTCCTCCTCCTTTGAATTTCTCCCCGGTTCTACTACATTTCTGTAGTAGAGATGTAGTAAGCATCTGTCTACTGTCCAGGAAAGCCCATCGGTCTCTTTTTCTCTTTTCTGTTTTTCCTTCCCTTTCAACTAATTTCATTTGAGGGACGAAAGGAGCGGGCGGCGGCCCAGGTAGCAAATCTGGGCTTCCTTCAGAGGAAAAAAAGGATGCAAAAAGGCTAGCCGTTAACTCAGAGCAGACTGTCGGGAGGAACAATTTGAGCCTGGGGTGGGATGGAATTCACATTTCTCCTTTGAATCCAGCCTGTGCTGCTGGTTTGAGTTTCAGATATTGCAAGTAAAAAAAAAATGATTGTATTGTTTGTTTGTTTTTTAAACTGGCTCGGCCATAGCTCTATAAGTCAATCAATTGAAAGCTTTCATTTTGGAGTTGCTCTATTGCAGGAGCCTGCAAAGGTGGCCGCTTTAAGACTTGTGGACTTCAGCTCCCAGAATTCCCCAGCCAGCACAGCTGGCTGGGGAATTCTGGGAGTTGAAGTCCACAAGTCTTAAAGCGGCCACCTTTGCAGGCTCCTGCTGTATTTGAATGCTTTAAAGGCCTCCACCCACATTGCTGCCAGCCTCTGCAGCTAAGCGTGCGTGGAGCATGGAGGGTAGAGAGCGATGAGAGAAGGGGGGGGAATGGTGGATTCTCCCCAGGAAGAGCCCCCAAAAAATGCAAAGAAAGCTAAAAATAAAAATCTTTTGGCAATCCTGAAAGGCCGGGTTGCGTCCAAAACATTTTGAGATGGCAAATCATAAAACGGTCCGGTCGAATGAATCATCTTGTCCGTTTTTATGCGGCTCACTGCAAATGAGCGTCCGTTCTCCGATTGCAACCTTCCAGCTCGAGACATTTTGGACCTTACACCCCTGCGAGGTGGCCGGTGTCGCAGCGTGACGGCAGGAGGATTCTGTGGCGCATGGCTCTTTGGTTTTTTGGGGTTTTTTTTTTGTTTTTTTTTTTAATTTCCCCACTAGCTGCTATTGTAATTCTCTCTCGTCTCCCCTGCGCGAACGCATTTTGCTCCGATTTGGGGGAGGGATGATGTGACTCCTGCAGATTTGAATGTACCCTATTCAGCATTTGGAGTTGAGAAGCAGTCCCAGAGGTCGCTCCGTCCAAAAACGGGCACTGCTTTTTTTTCTTCTTCTTATTTCCTTTTTTAATTATGATTATTTCGAGAGAACCCATATCTGCACAGTGAAGCTTTAGCTGGGACGGGAGGGAAACGGGGGGTGGGGGGAGTGTCCGTGCGCCCCAGGGATGTCTTTCGTGTTTCTCTTGCCTCTATTTAAATTTTTCAACCAACCAACCAACAAAAAAAAAAAAAAAAAACTTAGTAAAAAATGTTTGACAGTTTGGTATGTTTTGCTCTAGTTTTGTTTTTGTTTTGTTTTTTTAATTTGTTTGGGGGTATTTTTTTTTTTCTTCATTTTGGCTTTAGTTGTTTTAGGGGTGTTTTAAGGAGAATGTTCAGCATTATGATGGTGCAATTTTTTTTAAGGAAATATTTTCATCATGGGGAGATAAAATAAATGGCACTTTACATTACAATGTGCTTCTTTTTCTCTCTCTCTTTTTTTAAAAAAAAAGTATAAATATAGGTGACAGTGCGTGGCCATTTCTTTCTTTCTTACTTCCAAGAAAACTTTGCAGATGTACCCCTGTGGGTTTCATTAGCTCAGTTCAAGGAAATTATTCCCATAAACCAGGGATGGGCAAATGTGGCCCTTTTGACAACCTGTGGACTTCAACTCCCAGAATTCCTGAGACAGCCAAGCTGGCTCAGGAATTCTGGGAGTTGAAGTCCACAGGTCATAAAGGGGCCATATTTGCCCACCCCTGCAATAAACCATTACAGGTAGTCTTCCACTTGTAACAGTTCATTTAGTGACCATTTGAAGTTGCAACGGCACTGAAAAAAAGGGATTTATGATTGGTTTTCACACTTAACGACCGTTGCAGCCTCCCTATGGTCACCTGATCAAAATTCAGACATTTGGTAACTGACTCATATTTATGACTGGGGGGGGGCACGTGATCCCCTTTTGTGACTTTCTAATACGGTGTTTCTCAACCTTGGTGGCTTGATGGGTGGACTTCAACTCCCAGAATCCCCCAGCCAGCAGCGCTGGCTGCGGGATTCTGGGAGTTGAAGTCCACCCATCTTCAAGCTTCCAAAGTTGAGAAACACTGTTCTAATAAGCAATGCCAACGGGGAGCCAGATTCACTTAACCGCCGTGTCACTAACTTAACAACGGCAGCGGTTCGTTTAACAACCATGGCAAGAAAGGTCGTAAAGTGGAGAAAAATTCACTTAACAGATGTCTCACTTAGCAGCGAAAATGTGGGGCTCCGTTGTGGTTTTAAGTTGAGGACTACCTGAATAATGCTGCAAATTGTAAAGCTAAAAAACAAAACAAAATGGTGTCTATTGAGAGAAAGAAATCCTTATCCAGTGATTCCATTGCTATAAAATACGTTTAAATTTCTCATCAACTTCATTGATTGCTTCGTTCATTCATTTCTTCAGTTTCTATAGTCGCCCAATTCAGCCAAGTAACACTGTTTAAGTTCATTATATAGGATGCAATTGAACAAGAATTTTAGATTTTAGTGGTAAGACTAGACTAGGCTCCAAAACCAGGCAGGGATGGGAGACCACCATGTAATGCATAGTATAGGCATGATAGGGACCCAGAATGCCATCCTGGAAGAAAATAGCAAACCAATCATCCCTTAGTTTTTTATTTATTTTTTCATGTTATTAATACTTTTAAGGCCAATTCCATCATGACTGCAGCGGAAGAGCCAGATTTAAGAAATCATTTAAACAAAATTGGGGGAGGGGGCGCTAGTTTTCATATGGATCTATAATGTTCTGCAGAGAGGCTGCCAACACAGAGGAGGCCCATTTTCTGGCCCCATCAAGTGGCATTTTAATTGACAGGACCCAGAATTTTTTTTTTCTTTTTACGACCCTTAATTTGGGATGGAGTCAAGGTGACTGAATGGAGCTGAGCGTTTACTGGCTGGATGCCCTTCCTGATGCCTAACAGAGAGTTCACAGTAAATATATTCTCTTTGCACCCCGAGCGAGAAAACATCTGCCGCTACCTAGGATTTGAACTCTCAACCTTCCAAATGGGAGGTGAGCATCTTCAC